TCACAGCACGCTCAAGAAATTTGACTGCCAAGTGCTAAGAGCCGGGAAGGTTGCTACAGTTGGGCCCGTTGATGTGTGGAGGTGGTGGAAAGGGATTGCAGCATTTTAGGCGGTGGGCACATTTCCAGTATTGCATAGGAAATAATTGTAGATACTTGCACAGGCCTCAGAACTCCGACGTGAGCCGGCGTGCATCTCGGTGGTTATATTTTGTGTGCCGCGGTCGTGTTTCTGCGTACGCTGCGGTATACTTGAGTGAAGTACTTGAAGAATCCCGTGCTAACTGCCTGTAGTCAATGGGCTTATCCTGTACGGAGAGATTAAACTCGTAAGAATCTGTAAGTTTTATTTTTCTGTAGACAAAGTGAAGAATTTATGCTATGAGAGCCATTTTCTTCTCTAGGGTCAAAATATATGTGATAATATTTTTGTAGTTATTCAAGTTGGTTTGTGCTGTTCTTGCTTAAAAGTGTCTTAACAGCATCCCTTAAAACATTGACTGTATATATGCTGAAATCGGTGACAATGATCACAACTTAGCCCTTGGAGTCATGCCATGCATGCCCAGAAATTTTGACTAGGATGTTCTTGCTGGGTGGGACAACTTTGTTGTAAGCTTTATATTTTAGATCTGAGCTGGAGGGGCTGTAGCACTGAAAGGATTTTAGAATTTAGAGCAGGGCACATCTCAAATGTTTGCTCTGAGAATCACATTGTATGTCTAGGTCCACAGTTGGTTGTATGTACAGATAAACATGTCATGCTAGCTATTTTTTTATGTTAACCTCAGTTTGATGGTATCATTATCCATTCATGTGCATCTAATTGCATGCCCAAAATTTGATATGGGGGGGGGGGGGGAACTTGCCCCTGTGGCTGTTCTCCCTTAGATATGACCTTACTGCCATCATGAAGTATTATTTGTACAGCTTAAATCTGGTAAGGCCTTAATTGAGACCAAAACCTTCCAAAGTGGTAATATCAAAAAACCATACTGGAGAAACAAAATCAATAAATATATCTTATGCAACTCTGCATTCAACACACAAACCAATTTTGTAATGGGCTTTGTCCTTTTAAGTTGAAACATGTTAGTATTGCCATAGTGCATCCACAAAATTTAATAAAAACAGATCATGATTTTGTTTTCAATTTTGGCATAATACTTGATATTTCTACCCTTCTTGATGGCTAGAAATACTTTGGGAGTATTGGTAATGTACAACAGTGACAAGTTTAAAGCTCCTAAAATTTGTGTGAAGGCAGGGACTACTGCTGCTTGTTCCAAGTTTTATTCATACGGGCTGTAAGCCAAGTTAGGTAACTTATGAAAGTTAATATTTGGTAGATGTATTCACAGAGCAATGACAACCTGGCCACTTGATTGTACATTTCATACATCCTGTAACCCTCAAGGCTACTGAAGCAAAGTGTTAGCCAAATAGTAATGTTGCGGAATTTGAGGTTTCCCAGTAATGATTTATCCTTTTTCATTTAAATGGAAAAATGGCCAGCATTTATCTGGCTATACAGGCTACAATAGAGAACTCAATATATTAGCATGAATATCATGCATGCACATGGCATGCCAGGGACAGGAAGTATCTGATAAAGCGACAGACTGCTATGAGTCGCTTGTTTTGTAGAAAACTGGGTTTTGAAAGAACTGATAACTGCTGTACTTCTCATAATTTTGCACAATCTTCTGTTTGAATTGAAAGCATTATACCCTGAAATATGCATGCATACAAGTGATGCAGTGTGTGTTGTAGCATGCCGCTGACTACAAATACTGATATAACCCTTCCCCTTATCCAGGAGAAATTACAGAGATGTCACATTGCTTCAAAACATCACAGCTCATCAAATTTCCTTTGGGACTTGCCTCAAGATGTGGTACACTGGAGTGGAATTTCATCCATAGAAACAGCCAGGTATGAAATGTGGTGTGAGTGTGTGGATCAAGTGTTTTACCAACATGGTTTTTGAAATGATGCCTTGCGTGGGTGTAGTGGTGTGTGGTGGGTGTGGTGGCGTGCTTGTCTGGGACACCAGTGGTACCAGGTTTGATTCCCTGTGGTGCCTGCTCTTCCTTCCAGGGTGAGAGGCAGGTGATGCCATCAAGCCTCAGTGGCTGAATGTGTTGTAAAGCCCCAATGACACACACACACTTTGCATGGGTGTAGGAAAAGGGGGGCAGGGATTTACCCCCCCCCCCCCCCCCACACACACACACACTTTTCAAGGTGGGGGGGGCCAGCATTGTTAACTCGCCCTCCCACTTTTTCAGACTTAAGTTGTGTTCAGCTTATGTTTGTACCTCCTAAACATGCATGCTGGTTTACCTAGTTCACCAACCATTTTCCTCCAGATGTGTCATCTTTTTTATTTAAGCATTGGTCATCACCTGATGTCACATCCGCGGGGCCAACGCCGCGTATACTATGGAGTTTGCAACACTGGACATGGAGGCTGTCGCTAAGATGTGCAACCATGCATGTTTAAAACAGTGTCACATAATTTTATGTCATAATCAAGTATGACTGAATGTTGAACATTTTAAGATGAACATGGGCTAGCCAGGTCAATATAAATTCAGAACCCCATTTCCATCTACAGTCGATGTTCAGGGCATCGTCAATATCTCTGAAGAACACAGTAAAAATCAGGAACTGGAGTCTGGGTGACAATTATTGGACCATCTGGACCATCTTACCACCTGACCACCTGGATTATCTGACCCCCTGGACCATCTGACCACCTGACCACCTGACCACCAACGGCGATCAGGGACGTTGTTGCGTCCATGAGGGTTCCTGTGCTGATCTGGAGCCAACGGCGCGGCTCAGGACGGCCTTCCGTGTCAAGGAGGGGAACAATGTGATGGATGCATCCCTCTAAGGGCAGTTCGGATCGGCCAGGGGATTCCGCCCAGTGTCGCTAGCATGGCAGCCCGAGTACACCCCGCGAGGAGACGGAAGGACCCTTCAGCTCTTGACCAGAAACAGGAATGTGCCCCTAGTGGTCTAGTAAAGCAGTCACTTGGCCGGAGGAAAATGAGAGATGTCATTATTGTTAAATAGAGTGGGTAGAAATTATTTCAAACACGAACAAGGTCATCCCATGTTTGCCTTTGCCGCGTTTAGTCCTCTGCATAATCTATTAGTGAAACAAATTACATCAAAAGGTTTGAATATGCTCTCGTGCAAACTCAAGAGCAAGGACAGCGATGTCCTGGGCCGCAGTTTCCGTAAAACCAAGTTATGGAAAGTATTCTAAATTCATTTGTATGATAATACGAGGTGCATTCCATTTATTTTTGCATTATCTGGCATGATCACAGCATGAGTGATCAGTATGTGGCTTTGGGTGTTTTAGAGAGTTTCCTCTGCTGGATTGTTCTGGATGGTCTGAAAATCAGATAGACAGAGTCCGAGAGGAGTCGTAATGGTTGAATGCTGCACAGAAAAACCTAATTTGTACTAGTTGCATTGGTGACTTTCATTACACTAGTGTACCTTCCTGATGCAAATTGTGTTCTTTTAGTTTGTTTTTGCTGTTTTGTATTCAGCACGAGCAGAGAACCCACCAGAAACAAGCTTTTAGGCTGTGAGCTCAAATCTAATGGGTCAGAAAAATGATGGCTGAATTTGATTGTCTGAGAGGTCGGGGCACCAGCCAATGTACCAGATGGTAACATTTGCTCTGCTTATCTCTACCAGCTTTCATTGTGTTAAGCTACGAATAGTTCACCAACAAGTGATGAAGTTATGTGTCTATAAGACATGTTTCTTGCAAAAAATCACCATTTGTAAATCTTACGTGCCAGATAGCTTGGCTAGGTAGTTCTTAGGGATTTGGGGGGCCTCAACTGCATGGTAAGATGGCGCCGTGATTGCGGGTGGAAGAAAGTGTGCAAGACGTAGTACCTCATATAGTATAGACCTGGAGCAGGACTATCTCTTCGCAGGAGCTGCAGTCTCCCCCACCTCAAGTCATCCTGCTCCCCTCTTTTGGGCAGCTTCCTTAAATGGAATGTTCTATATTTTTATGGGGTTTTGAACTGAAATAGGCGTCTTGAAGACCTTTCGGTGCAGTCCACGGTCCTGCCCTTCCTAAGACCTCAACTCCTCTAGCTCCTGAGCCGTTCACTCGCCCCGAAAATAGGGGAGAGCTTTCAAGGCCACCTGGCATTCACGACGGCATAATTACGCTATTTGAATCCCGCCATTTCATAAGCCATGCCATGATGAGGGCCGAGAAAGATATGGTCGAGTCCTTTACATTCTGGCGGTCGTGAGCACGATTTCCAGATATGATGGCCGTCAACTGGCTCGCAATCAATGTTGTGCAAGGTGCGATAGCGTAATCAAACACTGACGTTTCGAATAGCATATTTACTAAACAGAGCAATCGTGTTGTCTTGGGCAGTCTTTTCTTCGTTTGAGTATGGCTATAGTTATAAGTGAGCTTGTTGCATCACATGTGATGCTTGCCTCAATATCTTCAAATGTGGAACATTCCCTGTTGCTTTCCGTTTAAAACAGGTGAGCCCCATAGTTGCGTTCTATGTTTCATTTTTCTCATGTGTTTAAGTTGCGTCATGGTCACCCTCCCCATGCCCATATTCAGCTTTTCTTCCAAAGGCACGCGAACAGCGTCGATCGTTGTTACGTTCTGTTCGTCGCGTGACTGCGGGCGGTTGCCGGCAGGGGCCGCCGCCGCCTGCGGCCGTGGCCGCGCTGGCAGGGCGTGTGCGACCATACGGCTCGCTCTGCTTGAGCACGCCGGCGCTGGCGGCGGCCGAGGCGCGGCTGCCGGCGCCAGCGCCGCCGCAGCACGTGGTGCAGCACGTGGCGCGGCTGCAGCTGCAGCTGGCGGCGCTGGAAGCGGCGCACGCGCTGCAGACCACCGGCGACTGGCGGCAGCTGCGCGCCGGCTCGCTCAGCGCCTGCGAGCGGCGGGCCTTCAGCCTGCCGCTGCCGCCGGCCGACGGCCACACTCTCAGCGGCGCCGACAGGCCGGCGGAGCGGCCGCCGCCGGCCGAGCGCCTCCCTGACCGGCCCAACCCCGACCAGTTGCGCGCCGTCGAGGCCAACCTGCTGCAGAACGTGAGTCGGGGGTGGCTGTCAAGCCGTCTGGGCGGCCAGGCGTACGCCTGCTGACGGACTACTGTCCGCTCCTGCCCGGAGCGGCGACCGACGCGGCTCTTGCCCAGGGCCTCTGCGCGTTGTGTTGTTTCCTGTTAAGCTTGTGTTTTTTAATCGAATTTTTTTAACATTTGTTCAGTATAGCATTTTAGGTAATAATGCCGTGGTTTTCATGCGTCTGTTCTGGACCTAAAGTTACGTCACTTCCCCGATAAGCTGTGACCTTATGACAAGAGGGTTTCGTGGCCTGCGCGTTTTATGCCTGGCCATGATCCAATGTGGTCTTGCGCACACAGTTTGCACGGCCTCGTTGATCGTCACTGCTCAGCATTATTGTTTTGCCACGCGCTGTTTGAAACGTTGGCAGGACTGTCCTCGACCACGGTTAGATCCATTCAATCAGCTTCCTGCTGTTCCAGCTCCCGCGCATTTTTGTCATGACGCAAGACTTCTCAATCTACCACAAGGACCTTGTCTTCGACAACAGAATACGTGGAACGAAATCGGTGTAAGTGGTGACATGCCTGTGGTGCGCATGGTTACGCATCCTGCCAGATCAAATCAGATGTTTAAAAAGATGAAAGCGAGGGATCAAATCCATAAAAGCTGTTAAATCTCGTGACGCTCATGTTCCTCCTCATTGCAGCACGATAGAACCTGTTATGCGTCCTTTCAGCAGCGCTGGCGTTCATTATCGGGGATGCAAGCATGTTTCGAAAACGAGTAGTATGTGTAATTCCCCGTTCGCCGTGGCTGGAGATCTCGCGTGGTGGGCGGGCCGGTCGCCGTGTGACGTGCCACTCTCGTTGCAGGGGAATAGTGCCGTACATCAAGCAGTGCGCCTTGCTGCGGATAGTGGGCCACATCAAGTTCAGCTACGTGACGCTGCAAGTGCTGCAGAGCTCGGCGCATCCTGAGGACGACTCTATCCGCATCCGCTGGAGGATCCGCGGAGTCAGCGCCCTCAAGTCCATGTTGATGTTCTGGAAATTCAACATCTTTAAGCTCCAGAACAGCATTGACGAGCACGGCGTGGAGTGAGTTTTTCGTCCATCGAAAATGTTTGAAATTTGATGTAGTCCAAGTTCTGGAAGCTCCCCGCAGGAAAGCCGTACCGAAGTGCTGAATAAAAAATCCAGTTCCAGGCCCGCTAATCGTTCTGTTTTTACTTTCAGTTGGTATGACGGCTACTCCATATTCCAAGTGGGTGGCGATGGGAAGATCCACACGCACATTGCCGACAAGGTATGCCAACAAGCTGGTTAGTTCGAGGGTGTGGGCCAGTCCGCCTAGTTTGCGGGACCGGTGTGGGCAAAATACGCTCATTTTTGGCGCACATTCACCTTTGTGTGAACACTCGTGAGCCCGCTGCGTGTCATCAGCTGGTGTGCGCGCACGCGGTGACCAGCCGCAGCGGGCCCTCCAGCTGCCGTGCCGCCTCTCTCACGGCCGGTGGCCCGGCGTGCCGCAGGTGATGCCGGACTGGAGCCGCGAGCTGGACTCCAAGCCGGCGCTGGGTGGCCTGGCCGCGCTCGTGTACGGCCTGCTGCCGGGAGCCACGGCCGGCGCCGAGCTGGGCCAGCTGCTGGCGCTGGCCGCCCGCCTGGAGTGGCTGGAACGCCAGATCGACACCGCCCTGCCGCTCAGCGCCTCTCTTTACAAGGTCAGGAGCATATGTACACGGTTTGGGTGCCAGATCGACACCGTCCGGCCGCTCAGCGCCGCCCTGTGCATGACCAGGGTCACAGACACGGAACTCAGGCGCTAAATCGACATTGGCCGAGCCACTTGGTGTCATGTAACTCCAGGCCAATGTCATACACGGCTCACGTTTGTTATCACACACACTGCTCTGTGATTGTGGGGGTCATGTTTACGCTGCCCAGTGGCGCGTAGCCCGGGGCTAAGATCGCCCGTGTCCAGGTTAGCGGTAGTGCTTTTTCCTGCTCTGTGCTGCGTAGTACGGGGTGTTTTCAGACAGGTCATCCAGATGACACGGGTCAGCCACCCACGCACCGTCAGTAAGATCGCCGCTGGGGTTTGAGCTGGGTTCATACGTGCCGGCATTGTTCAGACTGCCGTTTACCGCTTGTTTCCCACAACGCGTTCTCTGTTCCGTTTCCGACGTTTCTCCTTGGCTCGTTTTTTGTGTTCCCGCTGATCATATTTGTACTGTGACTCGTGAATCCCCAGTGCGCCACCTCCGACCATTTCCGTGGTTAGCTTTACCTCATCGCTTCCCGACTTTGCACTGCAGTGACGGCGATGTTTACCTTGCTGATGGCCGGCACGGGGCCGTGACCGCCTGGTGGAGATATGTGTGTGCTGTAGTTTTGAAGGTACACCAAAACACTTCTTGAATGATTGTCAGCGTTCTTTCGTGTGGGTTTTTGGATTCTCCCAAAGGATTAAGCGTATTACATGGGAATAGTGGTAAGGTCAGTTTGTCACACATGGTACTCAGTTCTCTGGACCGTAGCGTCACATGTTTGCGATTGTCACATGCGTAGTCCCGTCTGCGTACGAATGCGAATGCCTGCGTCACAGTCCACGAGTACGCTGTAACTGTGGTGTTCTTGCCTGACCGTCGCGTTGTTTTCGATCCGCAGACGGCTGGCAGCACCTGAGTCGGCCTGCGCCCGCCTCGGCGCTCTCTCCAGTATTTATTGTAGCTGACGGTCGAGCGTGGCGCGCCGTGTTCGCCACAGCTGCGCCGCCGGCGCGGGTCACCGCGGTCCGGTCTGTAGTGGAGCGTGGTTCGTGTCAGCCACAGCTCTGGTGCTGGTGCGACTGTGACCACCCGCTGTCGGGGGCGAGGTTCGCTCGCGGGGAATTCGGCCTCGCGGATGTAGTTTGCATTTGTTTGCAATCGAGAAGGCCGAGTGCTGGTGGGCAATGTGCGTTGATTATGTATGGCAATTTTCTGAAACGTTGACGGATGGCTGTCAAGACCTCTGGTCTTGGACCGTGGTAGTCTTTCAAGGCCCAGTGAACGTGAGCGGAGAATGGACTATATTGTGAAGTGTGCGACAATTCGTGTATACTTAACGGAAAGGACGGCAGACTATAATAGTTTGTTGTTGTTTTCGCCAAGTCGAAAAGACGCACCCTGTTAGCGCAGACTCTGAGTTAATAAAACTTTCGGAACACTTGGAGCAAATTTGTTGAATATCTTGACGCGTAATTATGTCATACTGATGAGATTGTGATCCATGACAAGTTCCGCAGGCCCTTCCACCAAACCGCTCCATGACTAATATGTCTTGATCATGTTATTTGGTCCCTGTTTTGGGCATGTCCGTTGAACGAAGTGGTCTCGTCAGGATGATGTTTGGAATGCTGGTTGGTAATCGCTTGCAAGAGCCGCCAATAAATTATCAAGAAAGATTGCGTTTCGGATTACCGAATGGATCAGCTTACGTTAAATCGTGGTGCAGCAACGCACGAACATGTGTTTTTTGCCGCCTACGTCTGACACGCAGTGCAGCAAGCTGTTGTGAAACACGGCACCGCTTAGCAAACCATGTACTGCAGTCAATTCCGAAGCATGTCGATTCTACAGAGATGGCGCGTGGTAGAACAAAACTTGATTGCGTTTTACACGGCATTTAGGGCCTACGCAGCTTTCAAGACGTTAGGCAAGGAAAGAAACGGATTTCGGTTCATTTGTCTGTAATACCATGAGGTCAATAGTACTGAACTCTCCAATTGCTCGGGCGAACTATCCCTCCCCCCCCCCCCCCCCTCCTGGCATACATTCCTACGCCACGTGCTGGACACGCGGCTTGTTGGAATACAAAAATCCAGGATGACTGAGAAATTTGCGTTGTCTTCGTTGTATAGAACTATTCCTACCATCCACCTCGAATTAGCTAAAAGAGGATAGCTGAGGGAACGCAAGGCAAGGCGATGTAAGGGTACGCAATGGACGGGTAGTTATCGCCTTTGGCTCCCACGTGAGGGGCCTAGGTTTAGCCCCTCCCCAGTTGCGCCATGGTCTCTGTGCGTTATTTAGGCCTCTGCAGTCGCTGGTGCTCCGTAAAAGGGAGTGAGACGACGCAATGAAGATGGCCCCAGAACGATCGAACGTATTTGGGCAGGCTATTAGAAGCGGCCCCCATGAGAGCGTTTAACCCTCCATTCAAATATGAAGTACCTAAGATCCAATGTGGGAAACCCCCAAAAGATCGAGTGTACCCAAGCAGGCTATCAGATGGCTCCCGAGAGGAGCGTAGGGCCCTACATTAAGAACGCAATGGGTCTCCGAACAACCCAGTGTGCCCGAGGTGAACAGACAGGGCTCCCGACAAGTATGTAGGGCCTTCCATTCAATTAGGATGGGCCCAAGGCAAAATGTAGAGGGCCCCCGAACGGCGGAGTGCGCCGGAGCAGGCGAACAGATGGGGCCCCGGTTAGAGCATAGGGCCTTCCATTCAAGTAAGAATTACCCAAGACCCAATGTAGGGGGCCCCGAACGACCGAGTGTGTCCTGGCAGGTAATCAGATAGGGCCCACGGCGAGAGCGCGGGGCCCTTCATTCAAATAAGAGTACCCAAAACCTAGTGTGGGGGGCCCCGAAAGATCGAGTGTAACCGAACAGGCTATCAGATGGCCCCCGACAGAAATGCGGGGCCCTGCATTCAAAACGAGAGAACCCAAGTCCCAGCCTGAAGGGCCCCGAACGACCGAGCGTGCCCAAACAAATTCACAGGTGGGCCCCCGACAAGAGCGTAGGGCCCTAAACAAGTGACAGAGAACTGGAGGAGCCCTGGACCAATATGGAGGGCCATGGGCGTATCGTGAGTGTGTCGATACGTTTACTGAGGCCAGCATGAATGCCGCTGAACAACCGAAGACATCTTGGCAGGCAGATTATTGTATTGTATTTGCATATAATATATAATGTATAAAATATACAATAATGTATAATGCGTTGGGAGTAGGGCGGATAGGGACTTTAGGTTGAATGGGAAACATCCGTGGAAGGCCCTGATTTACAGGAGTGCCCGGTTCGCTAGCAGGAAGAATGCCAGCAGCAACGCGGGGCCCTTCGAGCCAATGCAAAAAAATAAGGACAACTTAGACGGCTCCTTAACGATCGGATTGGCCCTGTAAGTGGACACAAGGGACCTCCAGCAACAGCGTATGGCCTCTGAGCAGTGTAAGGGGCCTTAAAACTTCCCAGTCACCACCCATTTAATCAGTGAAGAATCACTCTTGTCTTCTCTTGGGCCCTTCACATCCGTTTGTGACTCTTCTTGGTCGCCTGGAAGCCGCTTAACACGTCCCATATTGTTACGTCTCATGTTAGAAGAAATTGCGTCTGTTTGGTCGGCTCTGTCGGCATTGGTCGGCATTCGGGGCCTGTGTGCCTCTTTGAAGCACAAGAGGGCATTGCCCAGTGTCCCCCCCCCCCTCCCTATCTCTCCCCGTTCACTCTGGATCCGCTCCTGTGTAAGGGTAAGGCATAACCTATTTCTCGTATTTGCGAAACCTTTGCGATCCTCGACGCCTGCTATTTTGTATTGGTGATGGCGCGGGATTCTGTATATCGTTTATATGGCAGTACTACTTCCAAATTGTTCATATACGCTTGTGAAGGTTTTGTGACATTTAGTTCCCCGCTGTACACAAATGCTATTGTCTAGAATTTGCCCGGAGTCGGCATAGAGGTGCACGTGGTCGGTTGAATAGACATATCTATTTTAAAAGTTGTGCACGTGATACTGGTGTAATGTGCACGCAGGAAAGTTTGTGATTTCCAACAGGTAAAGCCATGTAGAAAGGATCCACTGCGCCGGACGCCTGTGACATCGGCGAACTGATGCTGGTGTTCCTTGTGTTCAATATTCATTAATTTGTCATGGAAAATAGCATAGCATTTTTACCTGAAGTTAACAGTTTTTCCGATGTGAAATCCTTGGAGCATTAACTGTCTGCGCAGAGGCTAGCACCGACCTGTGGTTATACAGTGTGCACTAAACTTGGGGCATTCAGGTTTACTAGGTATGTGCATTGAAATGTTTGTTGTATTGCTGCTGCTAGGCTGACATGCGCAGCATAACATGTATGTTTGGGAATCTGAGCTGGATGCTCCCCAGGACAGTCTGAAAATTATCCACTGCTCCCGACTCTTTTGTGACTGATGCTCAGCACCAGTATTGTCCAAAGTATGGTCAGTTTGACATGTGCATTCTGCTTTGAACTGCACAGTGGTGTATGCTTAGCAAGGTGCTGTGAACAACCTTCCAGCATGGGGAAAGTGTAATGAAGCTGGTGAATAAAACCTGCATTCCTTTGGTTGCTGCAGTGTATGCTTCATCCCGACAAATTTCATCAGTTCTAAATAAACCTCATGTACATATCATGTAAGAGTTTTCATCATATCACGTACATTGTGAGAGAAATTATTTGATTATCTCTTCCTGTGATTGGTGGCCTGCTCATGTGATACTCTTAAGATATGTTATTATTAAAATAAAAGGAGGTATGAGATGCTGAAGAATTGTATTGCTAACATGTCAGGTACTTAAGTAAGATCTGAGGTGCATGTTACTGCATGCTCTGCTGCATGCCACTCTGGGGATCTTTTGCACATGCAGAAGGACTGTGGAAGCAGTGGATATATGCTTTAGGCAGGCAATAAAAGTAAAACACTGAATAGTTGTAAACATATTGTGGTAATCAGTTCAGAGAACTAAATGTGATACAGAGTAAACATAAAATAGTAACACTGAGCTGTTGCAATGAATGTTTAGTTAGAAGTTGCATATTTTGGACTGCTAACTGATAAGAAAATAGACAAGCTCTAATACATAAGATTATACAATACAGAGATCAGTAATAAACAAAACAAACAAACTTAAAAAGCAAACTGATAAACCAACACAAGTTAATTATTCTGATAGCAGAAAAGTGGCAATAAACTAGGAGATAACTATTAAACTATCCAGAAATCAATGAATTATGGTCAGTAAGTTACATCATTCACATTTATTGAATCACAGTGCATATGATGGCTTCAGTAGTATGAAATAGAGTGACCTAGACACATAGAAAAATCAGTTTTTAGGGTTATCAAGTTTTCATATTTACAATGTCTTTACAACCCAGCTCAGAGGTGAAGGCCAATCAGAGCTATGTTGTGTTTTTGCAGTTTGGTGAATGGAGCTCTCTTCATCTAACCTGTCACATGGACAATGGGCAAGTGCTTATTGTCTTACATGTTTGCAAAGACACAGTATAGGTTTTTGTGAGGTAGTGCTGCAACAGCACTGGGGGATTTTTCTTACACTATGTGTTATGACATGGCCACATGTGGTGAGCTTTATCATATTTGTTCAGAAATACAAGTACATTGAGGATATGGCACAGTTGGTGCTCTGATGATCACCAGAACCAACAGCCATGTAGATGGCCTGCAGTGTTCATTATCCCAGTGTTATATTCATCCCAGATGGTGTGACCAACAGCACAAATGTGCTTGCAGTGTCTGGTCGGGTACCAGGTCATGAGTGGTGCATTAATTGGCATTGGTTTGACAGGCTCAGGATGGGGCTGACCAAGCAGTACCTGCGCTTCGAGGCCGGACCCGTGTTCGGCGTGATCGGCAGCCGCGACTGCAACGTCTGCTGGCTGGAGATTGACGGCGTGCAGCGGCGCTATGTGGCCGCTGCCGCCTGCGAGAAGATCCACGTCTGGGACACGGTCACCGCCGAAAGGGTATGTCTCACGACACGTCATACTCCAGCCTCAAACTCTGTGCCAGTGCAGGGGGAGCTGCACTACCCTCCCCCAAATGATGTAGTGCTGTGTAAAGTTCTGTCACTCTCATTAGCTGTGATGTATGCTCTATATGTAATATCAGGACATCATAACTGTCCTTTGTATTCCATAAACAGAACCTTCAGGCTGCAAGGTTTTGTCAAGTTGCTAGGTACCACTAACCTGTGCACAGTTAGCATGATATGCATCACTGTCTGTCATCATGCTGCCAGCCTTGTCAGACTTACTAATGTGCATGCTACATACATGGTCTGTTTGGATGTGACGCGCAGGCTCTTCGCGCACACGCCAGCATCACGAGAAACGCTCGCAGCACGTGATGATTGACCCACACGACTTGCCAGGGCAGCGGGGGTATTCCAGGGTTTCAGTTGCTCCGCTCGCAGCACGTGATGATTGACCCACACGACCTGCTGCAGCAGCGGGAGTGTTCCAGGGTTTCAGTTGCTCCGCTCGCAGCACGTGATAATTGACCCACACGACCTGCCGGGGCAGCGGGAGTGTTCCAGGGTTTCAGTTGTTCCGCTCGCAGCACGTGATAATTGACCCACACGACCTGCCGGGGCAGCGGGAGTGTTCCAGGGTTTCAGCTGTCCCTTTCCTGCTCCGTATTTGGCCGGCCGTACCACTGTGTATGTGACCCCGGACGTCGAGCCGTGCCGGTACCGCCAGCTCATCCTTGGCCGGCCCCCAGACCATGGTGCTGCACGGCGCAGCCAGCGAGGTCACCTGCCTGGGCGTCCACGACAAGCGGGCTCTGCTGGCCGCCGGCTACGCGGACGGCTCGGTGCGGCTGTTCTCGCTGACCTCGGGTGACCTGCGGGTCACGCTCACCGGCCACCGGTCCGGGGTGAACGCCGTCAGCTTCGACGAGGCTGGCATGCGCCTGGTGTCCGGCGCCAAGGTGCGTGGCTGGTGTCGTGTTTTGGTACGGCGCCGCTAGGGGGTGGCGTGGTAAAAAGGCAGCAGACTGGTTACTGCTCGGCAGGCCCATTGAGGCGAAGGAGATGTGATGTCAGAGCAGCTGGGCGTACCTGAATTTCGGTTATTGTAAGGCAGTGTCTGCCTTAGTCCCACGAGCGAGCGGGAGTGGTCCGATCGGTGGTGACTGCTGAAGATGGAGGGAAGGCAACGATTTTTCGCTCTTTCTCCGTCGTTACCTGATCCTGTTCCCATCTTCTCCCATCGTTTTCCCACCGTCATGTGTCTGTCCGTCTGTTACGTGCTCCCGTTAGGTTTTCCTCCATCATATGGTTCTTCTGCCTTCTTCTCCCGCCGTCAGTTATGCCATCACATGGACTTACGTCCCTCATATCTCATCTCTACCACCGTCATGTAGTCCTGCCCCCCCCCCCCCCCCTCGTCATGGCCTCACTAGCGTTTGGTTTCTGGCGACCCACGTCAGCCTGTGTCGGCTGCGACCGTTCACGCGGTCCGCTCTTGTCCTGCCAGGACACCGAGATCGTGGTGTGGGACGTGGTGAGCGAGGCCGGCCTGTACCGGCTACGCGGCCACAAGGGCAGCGTCACCCAGGTGCGCTTCATGCGCCGTCGCAACTGCCTCGTCTCCTCCTCCAAGGACACCTACGTCAAGTTCTGGGACCTGGACAACCAGCACTGCTTCAAGACGCTGGTCGGCCACCTGACAGAGGTGCGGGGCGCTCTGGCGCGAGCGGTCGGCCGGCCGACAGGGCTTCGCTCGGGTGTGAGGGACCGGGCCGCCCCCGCCCTTGCTTTTTGGTTAATTCTCATGTACGCCGGGCGCACCTCACGGTTGATGGGGATGATTTTTTTCAAAATATTAGTGGTGGGACTGACTCCCCTGCGCTCTGCGCCCGCTCCCGCGTTTTGTGTGCGGCCCACCCGTGCCGCCTGTTCGCCCCTGCTCCGTTGACCGTCCCCTTTCCCCCTCTCCGCTTCTGTCAGGTGTGGGACTTCGTGCTGAACGAGGACGACACGCGGCTGGTGACCGGCTCTGGCGACGCCGAGCTGCGCGTGCACGCGCTGCGCTTCCTCGAGCCGACCGAGCCGCCGGCGGCCAAGGCGCCGCGCCTCAGCGAGGCGGACGGTGACGAGCTGGAGGGTGACAGTGTGCGTACCATGCCGCCGCCGCGTGCGGTGCGAACGTCGCACGTGGGGGCGAGGTTTTGGCGCCACCGCGGGGCGCTTTCAGCCGGAGTTGCTGGCGTTTGCTGGATGTGTCTGTCGGCTCCCGTCAGTGGGGAGTCTGGACGATGCGCTGGGTCGCACGCGACGTGATGTAGAGGCCTGGTGAGAACGGCCAAGTGCGGTGTGAGTTATGCTGTCCCGACTCGATCATCGGCGCAGGAAGTGGACGATGTTAATTGTCACAGTTGTAATTGTTATTTATTCCGTTAATCTCTGTTTCAGTCCAACTTTGAGTGCACCCGGATCGGCAGCATTCTGCGGCAGGGAAAAGACCGCGTGTCGCGCGTGGTGATCGACAGTCAGTGTCGGCTGGTGTGTTTCCACGGCAACGACCAGACGCTGGAGCTGCTCTATCTGAACACGGAGGAGGAGACGGCCAGGAGGCTACAGAAGCGCCAGAAACGCGACCGAAAGCGGGCGAGGTACGCCGCGCCGGATGTCGACTTCCGGCGAGTGATGGGCTGGTTTGGTGTTATGTTTCGTGGAATGATCACTCCCTTTGGCCGCGAATCATGTTTGTTTCCATAGTAAACAGATCATTCTCTCTCCTCTAACAAGCAGCTTATACGGAGTACCGTCCAAACGATGCGTCCTTTGTGTGGGCGATTGCAAGAGGAGTATGAAGGCGGATGCGTATGGACCGATCCCGTCGAGAAATAATGGCGACATTTTCTTTTGTCGCGTTGGTCTGCTTAATCGGGGCTCGCGGATGCATCAGTCGCGGGGGTTTTGTGGCATGCGTTTGGTCGTGACCCGTGGCTACCTGCATGTTCCCTGCACGGATGGCCTGTTTTACCGTGATATCTCCGAGCCTGTTCCTCCACTCGTAACAGCGTAACACCACTCGTAACAGCGTAACACTACTCGTAACAGCGTAAACCACTCGTAACAGCGTAACACTACTCGTGACAACGTAACACCACCCGTAACAGCTTAACACCTTTCGTAACAGCGTAAACCATTCGTAACAGCGTAACACTACTCGTGATGACGTAACACCACCCGTAACAGCTTAACACCTCTCGTAACAGCGTAGAACCACTCCACGTAGAACAGCGAAACACCACTTGTAGCACCACTCAACAGCGAAACACCACTCGTATAAGCGTAACACTGCTCTGAGCAGCTCTGCAGTTTCACCCTGTCGCCCCTCGCTCGGCTTCACTCCCTCCAGCGTGGCCCGCGCCCCCGGCCGGCTGCCTCCGTCTCCGTCCGTGACCGGCGCTCCTCCGCAGGGAGGCCGGCGAGGACGCCAAGCCAGCGCCGCTGACGGCCCAGACGCTGCAGGACGAGCTGCGCCGGCTCACTAGCATCACCTGTCCGTCCAAGGTCAAGGCCGTGGACGTCTCGCTCAGCGGGCCACAACAGGCCAAGGTAACGCCTGGGATCGGGCCTCAGGCTCGGACTGCCCGTGACGCATCAGAGACACGCTGAGGAGTCCGGGTGCCGTCCACGATGTCCTCTGTTGGATAGCAATGTACTGTTGTGACCCATCGCCAATGCAGATCGTAAGACAAGTGCCATGAGATGTCAGAAAGAAAGTGATATAAGTTGAAAGTTCATATGTTGACTTAAGGACCTGCGATATGCCAGGAGGGACAAGTTAAATGGCCTTGTAATGCTGAATTACGACCACAATGACGTTACCCAATATGTTGAGCTGTGCTCATTTTCATGATGTACTGTTACAACTTCCCGCCAATTCGCTGCTGATATATGCCCCGTCGCAGCTGACAGCATTCCTGCTTAAACGACCCACTGCTGACACACAGTACTGACACACATTCGCCGCTGACACGCACTGCTGACGCACATTCACAGCTTGCAGACTCATTGTTGACACACTCACTGCTGACACACACTCACCATTGACACACTCACTGCTGGTACACATTCACAGCTGACACACTCACCGCTGACGCACACTCACCACTCACACACACTCACCGCTGACGCACTCACCACTCACACACACTCATCGCTGACGCACACTCACCACTGACACGCTCTGTCGCAGCTAACGGTGCTGCTGGCCAACAACTCGCTGCTGACGTACGGGCTGACGGTGGACACGAGCGGCGGTCGTGACGCGGCCGAGCCGGGCGCCCACCTGCAGCTGCCCGGACACCGGTCGGACGTCCGCGCGCTCGACTTCTCCGCGGACGGCACGGCGCTCCTCTCGGCCTCCTCCGAGCAGCTCAAAGTCTGGAACAAGTCAGTGGAGGCCGACCGTGTGGGATCGTCTAGAACTGGGGAGCTGTGATTCAACAACTGCCGTGTAACCCCAGTCTGCGGGGTAAAATGGGAATTATGTATTTTCGCACCCATGGCACTTTGGTCTTTTTCTGACGGTGTCGTAGTATGATGGTCCATAGAACTGCGTTAGCGTGGTTGCTGCTGTAGGATGCTAGCCTTCAATGGTGTTCATGGCAAAATTAAACCTTCGAACTATTGCAGCTTGAGGTTAGTGGCGGGCGCAGAAAGAATTACACCGCACGAATCCGGAGATGCTTCAACTACATGTGTGTGACTAAAACGTGTAGTTGGTGTGTATCCCCGTAATCTGTAAAATCAAACCACTGCAACCGCGTCCGTCCATCAACTGCCCGTCTGCCCGTGGCCAGGTCGACCCAGCAGTGTATCCGCACGCTGCCGTGCGAGCCGGCGCTGTGCGCGCTGTTCGTGCCCGGCGACCGGCACGTGCTGATCGGCACCAAGAGCGGCCGGCTGCAGCTGCTGGAGCTGGCCTCCGGCCGCCGTCTGGAGGACGTGGCTGCGCACGAGGCCGAGCTCTGGTCGCTGGCGCTGACGCCCGACCAGCGCGGCTTCGCCTCCGCCTCTGCCGACAAGCAGGTCAGCGGCGCCGGCGGCTGGGACGGCGGCGGCCGGTCGCGACGGGCGGTGATAGGCAGCCGACGATCGGCGACAGGCAGCCGACGATCGGCGGCAGGCAGCCGGCGGGCGGCGACTGGCCTGGAGCCGGCCTGGTGGCCCTGTGTTGGAGCCGCCGGCGCGGTCACGGACTGGTGTGGTGTGAGGGCGGGGCGTCAGGCCGCGTTAGCTGAGCCCGATGTGGCAGCCACCGGAGGTGACAGGCCAGAGCGATCGGAGGCGGGGGTGGAATCAATAGCCGGCTGGTCTCCCGCAGGGCCTTCCTGGCACGCTGCGCGCCGCTCTCCGCGCTAACCCGACCCGACCAGAGCACAGCCCAGCGGTGACCGTGCGGCCACCGTCCGACAGGTGAAGCTGTGGCGCTTTGAGCTGGTGTCGACGGAGCAGGGCGCCAGGCAGCTGTCGTTCCTGCACACGGCCACGCACGCGCTGGACGAGGACTGCCTAAGCGTGCGTTTCTCGCCGGACGGCCGGCTGCTGGCCGTGGCGCTGCTCGACAGCACCGTCAACGTCTTCTTCACTGACACTATGAAGGTGGGTGCCCGGCTCGAGGCAGCCTGATGATGGCGCGGTTTGGGCGCGGACTGGAGTACGGACAGTATAGTCATTCAGTGCACTTTGTGGAACGTGTTGCCTTGTTCTTAATGTGTGCTATCCTATCGGTGTACACACCCACAACATGAGGGCGCCACCATATATTCAAAAGCGGTGAACGCCGTCTACGGAACCACTCCATGCTGTTCGCTCGGACGTGCCACTGACCTTGAAGTGGGCCCATGCGTGGTGACCGGTCCGCGCTCCGTCAGTGTCACACGACCCCGTCGCGGGCCCGATCGGTCGCTGTGGCCCGTGGTGGGGTCGTGCACCCCCTCCCCCGAGCCTGTCCGGCGCGCGTGGCGCTCCCCTACCGTCGTCGCCGCTGCCGCCGCCAGCTGTTCCTGTCGCTGTATGGCCACCGGCTGCCCGTGCTGTGCATGGACATCAGCCACGACTCGACCCTCATCGCCACCGGCAGCGGCGACCGCAACGTCAAGATCTGGGGCCTCGACTTCGGCGACTGCCACAAGTGAGCGGCCGGCGCGCGGGGTGGGGTGGGGGGTGGGGGGGGGGGGGCGGGGCACAGCGGGCGCGCAGGGACGGACATGGTCGTGGTACGGATGCTGACGGGGGGGGGGGGGGGGGGTGCGAGGCTGTCATTAGCTTATGGCTGTCGGTGTGACTCGGGTAGCACTGAACGTTTTTGAAATGGGTGGGTTCTTGGCACGTCGTGGTTCTCGGACCTGTTTGCATCAGTGGAGTAATGCAATGAACATGTCTCGCATCCTTCATCCCAGCAAAACCATTTCGTTTCTGGCCGACCTATTTACCCCGTGATCATTGCATGAGTATGCCTTTTGGCCGTCGGCGGCTCAAACCGCAGCACAGCGTCCTGCACGGCTGTGCTGACGGGCGGGGTCAGGCGCCGCCGGCCGCCGCGGCGCTGCGGCGCGCTGCCGACCGTCCCCGCGTTCTGACCGCCGGCCGCGGTGCCGCCAGGTCGCTGTTCGCGCACGACGACAGCGTGACCGCGCTGCGGTTCGTGCCGAGGACGCACCACTTCTTCACGTGTGGCAAAGATGGCCGCGTCAAGCAGTGGGATGCCGACAACTACCAGCGCATACAGACGCTCGAGGGACACTGCAAGGAGGTGCTGGCCATGGCGGTCAGTCCTGACGGTGAGGGCCCGGCTCTGCTCGGGCCGCGTCTGTGTTGATGAGGGCTTTTTCCCAGCGGTGGCTGGCTGGTCACAGTGAGCGGCGCGGCCGCGTGATAGTCACGCGGCTCTTACTGTGGATCCGCAGACTTGAACTAACACTGGGCACCCAGTGACCGTTCAGCGCTGACGAGTGCGTGTCCTCGATGATGCTTGCTCGGCGATGATGCTTGCATCAGTGACAGTGTCCTGTCCGCTGGGAAGTGTGCACTGTGGGAAGTGGGACACCACTCGTGTATGGGCGGCCGATGTCTCGGAAACGTATCTCAAGTCTGTGGAAGTGTGCACTCATTGCTCCACACTGAGTCCGCGGCCGGGGCTGCGGTCTCCCGACGCTGCTGGGCGGGCGCCGGTGCCCTGCCCGAGCCCGCCGCCCCGCCCCGCCCCTGACGCCGCTCTGCCCCGCCCCTGACGCCGCCCCGCCCGCCCCTGGCGCCGCCCTGCCCCGCCCCTGGCGCCAGCCCCGTCCCGTCCGGCCGCCTCTGACGCCGCCCCGCCCGCCCCTGACGCCGCCCCGCCCGCCTCTGACGCCGCCCTGCCCCGCCCCTTGCGCCAGCCCCGTCCCGTCCGGCCGCCTCTGACGCCGCCCCGCCCGCCCCTGACGCCGCCCGGCCGTCGGCAGGCCGGTGGGTGCTGAGCTCGTCACGCGACCGCTCGCTGCGGCTCTGGCAGAAGACGGACGAGCCGCTCGTGCTGGAAGAGGAGCGCGAGGACGAGCGCGCGCGCGAGGAGGAGCAGCGGCTGGCCAGCGGGCAGGCGGCCGCCGTGCCGGGCGAGAGTGACCGGGAGGCCGGCCGGCCCGGCCAGAAGACGGCCGAGACGGAGCGCGCGGTGCGTGACGTCGCAGCTAGACCTGGGCGTTCGGATTCGCAGAATCAGAGTGGATTCGAATAGATTGAAACTTTGTGAATACTTGAATTCTAAAGATGGTTATTTGAACTCGAAAATAAGAAGTTAAATAATAAAACTCATCGGAACGTAAGAGTCAGCTGAGTAGATCATGAAGTCCCCCCTCCCCCCCCCCCCCCCCACCCATCCACCCATGTATTCACACATTCCTCCAGATAAACTGAGTGCAACACGAATAGTTATAATTCTGTTGACATGAGACTAATTCGTCTGTTCTCATTGTATTGCGTTGTATTAGTTTGAGATGTCGATGCAAAGATGCGAATTTTCTCGAATCTTGTAGCTGAATCCGAATCTGCCTCTCCTGTTTGGATCTTCATTCCAAAATATTACCGAGCAGGCGCGTTCCGTTCTGCCTCGGTGAGGCCGTGTTCGGCGCAGGGCGTGATGGAGTGGAAGTTGTTTGGATTATGGGGCCTGATCTGAATTCCTGGGTTGCATCATGCAGCGAGCAGCGATGTTGAGTATTGCTGTGACTAAAGCGCTTGATGCTGCCGGTTAATGTGTACGCACCGGTATTGTGTGACGTGTTGTCGCCGCCGTGCATTGGCGTTCGGCGTGTCCCGCTGGGACCTGCATGGCTTCCGACAAGCGCCGGTGTGACGCAGTGTATCAGACTTGTGGAGCGCCATGGGGCGTGTGACGGGCGCCAAAACTGCCCAACTATCTTGGTCACAACACTATCAAGCCGATGTCCGCCATCTCCGCCGCGCTGTCGCCTGCGTGACCGTGCCCGACTTGGCCGCGAGCAGCCTGCTCGGTGACGTTATCAGTTAGTGCACTCGGGGCGAGGCTGTCTCGGTGATCGGCTTGGTGTAAACATCGACGCGACCGGTAAGGTGCACATCAAAACGCGCCGAACGTGCCAGCCTCGCACCGCGTTTCGTCTCTGATGACCGGAGCCTGCGGTTCGACAGTTCCCCCCCCCCCCCCTGACTCCCCCCCTTCCTCCGCCGCACCCGCAGGCGGAGCGTATCATGGAGGCTGTCACCATCTACAAGCAGGTGTCGCGCGCGCTGCGTGAGTCGAGCTCGGCCGAGCTGCACCCGCTGATGCTGGCCTACAACTGCGCCACGCCCGACCTGTTCATGGCCGAGGTGCTGCGCCGGGTCAAGTCCAGGTCAGCATTGTGCCCCCCGAGCCGGTTCGTGTTTGCGGGGAGGCGAATGGCGTGCGGTGCGATTTTACCGCGTCTGTGCTGCTTTTCAGTGTGCTGGTCTTGGTCCGGACGCCCTCCTTGTTTTGTTTTGTGTGGCCAGTAGTTGCCCTGGCATCCTGCCCGGTCGGAAGGAGACTCTTATGTTCGTAAAACAGGGCGCTACGTGCTGTGACGTTTTCACACTGCCAAGCACCTCAGCGGTGTCGTCGCCGGTTGCACCTCAGGCACCTCGCGTGTCATCGCCGGCTGCTGTTCTCGGTGCTGTGTGTGACGTCAGCCGCCGTCCGTCCGCCCGCCAGCGAGCTGGAGGAGAGCCTGCTGGTGCTGCCCTTCAGCTACGTCACCGACCTGCTGTACATTCTGGAGCGGCTGGTGGCCGGCAGCGGCGAGGTGGAGCTCGTCTGCCGCTGCCTCTGCTTCCTGATGCGCGTCCACCACGGCCAGATCGTCAACAACGGCGTGCTGGCGCCGGTCATAGAGCGGCTGCGCGCCGCCGCCGGCCGCCAGGTGCAGCAGCTGCGGGTCAGTAGCCGGGCGGGACCTCTGGCTGGGGCGGTGGTGGCCCGCCGCCGGCCGCCAGGTGCAGCAGCTGCGGGTCAGTAGCCGGGCGGGACCTCTGGCTAGGGCGGTGGTGGTCTGCCGCCGGCCGCCAGGTGCAGCAGCTGCGGGTCAGTAGCCGGGCGGGACCTCTGGCTGGGGCGGTGGTGGTCTGCCGCCGGCCGCCAGGTGCAGCAGCTGCGGGTTAGTAGCCGGGCGGGACCTCTGGCTGGGGCGGGGGGTGGTCCGCCGCCGGCCGCCAGGTGCAGCAGCTGCGGGTCAGTAGCCGGGCGGGACCTCTGGCTGGGCTGGGGTGGCCCGCCGCCGGCCGCCGGGTGCAGCAGCTGCGGGTCAGTAGCCGGGCGGGACCTCTGGCTGGGCGGGGGTGGTCCGCCGCCGGCCGCTAGGTGCAGCAGCTGCGGGTCAGTAGCCGGGCGGGACCTCTGGCTGGGGCGGGGGTGGTCTGCCGCCGGCCGCCAGGTGCAGCAGCTGCGGGTCAGTAGCCGGGCGGGACCTCTGGCTGGGGCGGGGGTGGCCCGCCGCCGGCCGCCAGGTGCAGCAGCTGCGGGTCAGCAGCCGGGCGGGACCTCTGGCTGGGGCGGGTGATGGCCCGTCGCCGGGGGCACGGGCCCAGCGCTGAAGTGGTGTGTTCAGTGCGCTGCATGGCGTGCTGTGTGCTCGCGGGGTAACGATTAGAACGGGTCCCGTGGTATGGAGACCAGCGCTGCAAAAATGCCTGTTGCTTTCAGAATGCGCCCTTATCTTGTTGCTGCACTTTTACCGCATGCGTAAAAATTTAAAAACTGAAATAAAACTGTGTGACTTAAACTGGACAGTTGTTAAACATGCATTGTGTCTTTACTTCGGCAATAGCATGGACCCTCCGGTGTTTGAAAAAGTATGCGTTTTGTTGGATCAAAGAAACGTTTTTATTCGTTTGGAACGTCTCGTCGTCTGGCACTTTTCCTCCCCTATTCCGGGTGTATGACGTTACAACCGGTACAATCGACAGCCAATACATTGCGTCACATATCCTCGTGTTCATCACAGAATGTTCCGAAGTGGTATTTGTTTGATGATACGAAAATGTGTCGGATGAGCAAAATGTTCTGCAAAATCTGCCTCCTCTTAGAAGCAGCACGACTTTTCGAACGTTTTATAAATATATTATTGCGACTGGTTCGCCGGAGACGAGAACCGTGCCGGCATTTGTGATCCTGTACCAGACAATGCCTGCAGGAGTGCTGTGGGCGGGCTGCTGTCCCGGCCCCTGCCGAGTCCGTGCTGACCGCGCCCGCTCACGTCTCGTTCGCCGCCGCAGGACACGATCGGCTTCTCCAAGGCGGGCCTGGAGTTCCTGCAGCGCGATCTGCTGGAGCGCGAGAGCGTGGCGCTCTTCGTGGACGCCTCGCAGAGCGTCAGCGACAAGCGCAAGAAGCGGAGGAAAAAGGAGCGCGCTGCGCAACGGGCTGTGCTGCTCATGTAGACCGGAGAGCGTGCTGGACTGACCTGCTGATGCCACGGGGACCAGCGGCCGCAGGGCCAGCGCCGCAGGCTGCGCCGTCATCTTCATTGTGTACGGAATACACCGATGTTGGAATCCGGCACCCTGTTTGTATTGGTGCTGGATTGGTGGACAGAAAAACGTCGCAATGCTGACGTGTCGGATCCGAAGTGTGTGACATTCACAGGCACACACGTTCTCTGCCTTTGAATGCCGCGCTTCGCGCTGCGCGGTCTTCCCAGCAGCGTGGACCAGTAGAGTTAAGGGGCTAGAAGAATGTGGGCAGTGGATCAAGGGTGGCTCATGTCGCTCATTGCCTTCAATTTCGTTATCTGCCTCTCTCCAAAAAAGCTACGCGGCTGCGTCACGTAGGGCCCAAGCGTAACACGAACACAAACTGTGGACCAGTGTGGTCGTTGGTTCGCGACGGCCCGTCCAAAAGCGCGCCGGCACATCGCCAGAGAAAAGTGTGATGGAAACACCTTATCACGGACCTGCAACGAAGCCGCGTCCATTCCGATGATCTCTAACGCGTCAATGCACTACCTCGTATACGGCGAATCCCGCGTAAGGAAGAAGCGTGACGCCGGATGCTATTGGCGGTACACAGCATCCCATCATTCAGCCGGCTGCACCTGCTCCCTCCGTGTGCGCAGTTCTCTAACGACGCAGTTATGCTGGTCACGTGCACCTGAAGCCTCCCGCCTCGTAAGGAGACCCCGCCTGGAGCGTGCCGCGCCAGGTGACGCCAGGCGCCGGCCCTGCTGAGAGGGGCGCATACCGGCGGGCCGTAGTGACGTCACTTGCCAGCGGCGGCTGGCGGCTAGTCAGGTGGACGGCAGACGGCGGCGGCGGCGGCCGGCGAGAGGGCAGGTGAGAGCCGGGGTCGGCGGGGCCTGGGGGCGGGGGACTATGTCGGGGAGAGGGAGGGGGTTGCATGTTATCCGTGGGGGTGACGTGACGGGTAAGGAGCACACGTCACGTTCCTCACGGCAGTGTGGTCCGTGCTCAGTGGGTTCGTCCCATCAGGGCTCCAGCCCACCCGGCTTGCGGCGCATTTGATGGAGAATGTCTGAGAGAGGCTATTGTGGACATCCATAAAGTTAGCAAAATAGTCGCATCGGACTCGGGTTCCAATAAAGGAAACGTGCACACAAGCGCAACTCCGTCAAAAAATGAGTTGATTCAGTCTCGAACTTCGATTTCGAATTGGAGGATGGCTACATGGTCGCCGTGCAGACCAGGACGTGCACCTCTAACGTGAGATCCAGGCGTCTCCGCGCAGCCTCCAGGCATTTACGAGTCAAATATGCGGGCATACAGTGTTCCCTCCATAATGCATCTATTCCCAATCTGAAGACGGCTACGTGGTCGTGATGCTATTGTGATGCAAAGTATGTGCACTTGCAACAACCTGATCTGCCAGTGTCGTTGTTTTTGCAACATGATGGGGTCAATGCCCCGTGTCGTGTAATTTATTCAATACTGCATCTAGTCCACATTTATAAATGGCTGCATGCCTTTGTCTCTTCATGTACATACATCATGGCTATTTCACCCACATGACGCATGACAGTGGAAACCGCTTGAAAAGGCAGGAACATGCTGATACCTAGCATTTAAGTCTGAAAAGCTATTTCTGCGTCGTCCACGCTCATCGAAGGCAGAATTCGCGAGTTAATGCAGGTGAATTACGCTGGTGTCGTGGGCTGTTCACGGTGTCAGTGACCTCGGGGGGTCAGATTGTGACGGTCTTGTGTCGTTCACCCATCACACCTACAACATCATTCGTACTTTGTCACTAATATGTCTTTTGCGCAAGTAGTAGAAGTAGTAATAATAGTAGAAGCGGCATAAGTAATAACAGCAATATTAGACGTAGTAGTAGTAGTACTAGTAGCAGAAGTAGTAAAAATGAATTTCGATAATTTGTAACAATTAACGACGTTCACGTTGTGAACCTGTTTACGGTCTCACCGTGGGACATGTGAGGGGAAAAATCGTAATGTTTTTATGTAGCTGACCTAACAAAAAGCCAGCATTTACGATGGAGAGCTATGGGTACCGCTGAGGTTTTCCCGTAATAAATTCTGAATGGTTGTGCGTACGGCTCTGAGACTTTGTACACCCGAGTTGGTGTAGTTTTATAGATCTTGTAAACAGATTTGGGGTTTCTCACTCCGACAGCGCATGGTCTGTGATGCCTCCTCGAGGTGATCTTGGTGACCTTGTGTCAAAAGGTGACGAACAACGCTAAATGAACGCATGAAGTGCACCCCAAAGAGATTTTTAGACTTTTCTTTTATCTTTAGCTTTCTGAGTGCATTACTATCGTTTTGATGGTTTTTAAGAGGTCAAGTACTTCAATGTCAAGCTAGTTTAAAGTTTTACGTCTGTAGCCAGGCTCGGCCCTTGGAAGGTTATGCAACTTGGACCTTGCACCTTCGAAAGGCACTTTAACCCGCGCCCTGCCGGGGTCCTGAGATAACCGCGCCCGGTCAGGGGGAAGTTGACTTCCCCTCCCTGGGATCCCAACTTCCAGACACCGTACGAGAAAAGCCAAGATACCATTGGGAAGTTTCTCCAAATGATGAAGAATGGACATCAAGTCAAATGCGAGGTCGCCACAGGTCATGAAGGAAAAAAAGATTATTCTGACAGATGTTCTTTAAACCTATGTTAATACGTCAAGACGGATATTGAGGGCACACAATTAAGCGTTAAGACTGTGAGAAGACCACTGCTACCACTTTTGTTTCCATGCAAGGGTCGGTCAGGTTAGGTCACCGTTTACGGTTGGTCCACCAATAGTCGGCAAGACCGATGCTTTTTTGTTTTCTTTCACAATGTGCTTCTGGCTAAGTTTATGTTATTAGGTGCAGCTGTGGAACAAAAGTATCCCAGGCACAGATATTTTTAAGATGACAGATAGGTCGGCTGAGTTTTATGAGGTCATTGACATTGTATGACCTCATCTGACCGGTCGTGTATTCACGTGACCTATTTTAACCTCGTTATGTTACCATGATGCCACAACATGTTTGCAGCGGAAGCTTGGAATTCTGCGCTAAAAATAGCCCAATAAAACTACCTATTTTAATCTCAACGTTGTTTTGCTGAGGGCACCCATGGAAGTAGACCATGACCTAGGTCAATGTCATGCGCCCTGTGGTCATAAGAAGGCTGTGCATGTGATTTAGTACTCTTTTCGGCACATAGAAATACTAATACTACAAAGAAATGCGTGAATTCAAAGACATGCGTCTAGATTTGCATTATTCACAAAAAACCGCGAACGTTGACCTCACCCAGGTCACTGGCCTCGACTGTTTCCGAAAACCTCAAAGATAGGTATTATGATTTTATATTACTATAACAAAGTTGCGCAAGGACAAACAACGCACAAAAAGTTATATGTGGTCAAGGTCTTTTAGAGGCTGATCTCTTTGGCCTGACCGAGATCACTGACCTCAGCAGATCAAGACTTGACTGTGCTCGTAGCATTGTAGGGAGGAAGTCAACTTCTCCCCTCCCCGGCGGGGCGCGGGTTAACGCTGCTTTTCCCATTCGTGAGGTTAGTTTAGTTCTGGACATAGCCGGGCGGACCAACGCAATGATAGCCCCTACGTGAACAATACGGTATAATACCCTTCGTGAGTATGCACCCCTTTGACCTGACATGACATATCACAAGTCACATCTGTCGATGTGAAATAACACTCATCTGATGAATGTTTTCGAAAGATACTCAATGCCGTTTTCGCGTGCGTGCTGTGCTGATTTGATTCCTTGCCTCGGTTTGACCCGTCGAAGGTCACGTTCCACATCGCTTAGGCACACCCATCTTATGAATTTTGAGGAGAGCTTTTCAACAGCCTTTTCCACTAAGCTCTAGCATACATAGTTGTTATATTATAGAGGGTTTCAATCCCTCCGGATATTGTAGAGCGACAATGAACAAAAACTGCCGTATGGTATGGTTAAACATCAGGCGGTTGCACACGTAATACCTACTATCTCGCCTCGATATATGACCCATGGATGTCAAAATGCAAAAGTGTGCTGCGTCAGCTGCGTAGCAATCGATAGAGCGCTTCACGGGACCGTTTTTCTGACTAAATGAGGCCAAACCGTTAGCTGTGTATGTACTGAATGACACGGCAAACACACGGCCTTTTCATGTTTTGAATCGATGTATCATTAAAGGAATTGTGTGTCACGGCGTGTTTCACGTCCAGAGGTCTGCAAACTATACGGTGACCTCTGTGGGTCAGCTTGTCGAAAGCGCATTTACCTGACGGCGCGACGATCACGTAGCCCTGTTCACATTTGCAATGGATGCCTTATTAAACAAGTCGTGCGTGACTGTGTAGTTGATCGATAAATGCCTGAAGACCAATCATTCATATTTTGAGGGCCTGACGCTAAAATGCATTTGCCTGACGCAACGTGTGGGACGCATGCGTTTTCAAACTGGAGACGATGGACAACTGAAGAAGCTCTCAGGGATGGTGCGTTCGACTTGCAGATTCCTGTTAGCTCCACAATGACGTTTTGGGTCACGTGGTTAATAGTACGAATGTCTGACGTCACGGTGGCCATGCAGCCGTTTTAGATTTGATTAAAGTCAATGGATTACCGAAGGAGTTGTGTGTGACCTGCGATTTTGACCCATAGATATCTGGAGGGTTAGCAGTGACATTAGGAGTCGACATTACTAAAAAGCAGCATATACTTCGTTGTGACCGCGTGTATACTCGTGCATGACAGCATGTCATATGCTCATGTCATAAATCATATACTCATATATACATATGCATGTATATATATCATGTACCAACTTTATCACTCACTCATGCGTGCCCGCGTATCTAGCCTATAGATGGCCGGAGCCTAAAAGGCGACATGTAGAGCTGGCGTTTGAGAAGAGCATACAATTTATGCCAGGACGACCATGCATCGATGCTTAGATCTGAAACAGACGCATCATGGAAGAAGTTGTACCTGATCGGGCATTTGACTCCTGTATACCTAGATGCAAAATTGTGACTTTTCGGAGTTGAAGTTGTTGAAAGCGTGTTTAGTTGACATAATGGCAATCATGTGGACGCTGTTGCAATTGAAAACGCTGCGGTATTGACAGGCTGTGCACGATTGTGCATTTCCTTTATCGGAATATAAACCCCAACCAGGTGGATACGATCGTCAATGATGTGTGTGGGGGCTTAGCGGTGGCCATTGGGGATAGCTATTTTAGAATGATAGTTTTTGCGCGCTTGCAAATAATTTCATTTACAAATTTCGTCTCAAAATTCCAAATGCTGCTGCCTTGGACTGGTGAACACCGGCAAGTCGTCGTACGAACCGCACTGCGCACCGCGCGGGTAGCGTTGAAAAAAAATCCGCACGCACCGGCCTGATAGCATTAAGTCAAGCCATTCTTTTCCCAGGTCATATCGTCCCAATAACCTTCACTGAAGATCAGGTAATCAGAATCAGGACCAGGAAAAGCCCTCAAGTGCTCAGGATCAGGGCGAGGAAGAACCTTCAAGTGCTCAGGATGGGCTGGGATGAGCTCCAATACCAGAGCGGGTTCGGCAACGAGTTTGCCAGCACCGACCCGCGCTGCCCGGACGCCCTGCCCGAGGGACAGAACAACCCGCAGAAGTGTCCGTACGGCCTATATGCCGAGCAGCTGTCAGGCACTGCGTTCACAGGTACCCGCCGCGGCCTCGTTCGGCTCCAGGTCAGCTCGGACGGGCACTCACTGGCCACGACGAAGCGAACATGCAGAGTGGCCTGCAGCGTGAGCATTCTGTAGCGCTCGTTCATCCCCTCCCCCCCCCCCCCCGTCCTTCAGCCCAGGGCTGGCGACACCGTGGGGGATGTGGGGGACGCGTCCCCCACAGCTTTCAGAAAAGGGGAACTGTCCCCTACAATCTCAGAGACCCAAAATTGTAGCACGCATGCATAGGCATTCCAGTGAATCGAGTAACAGACAAAATCACACACAGAGCTCTAAACATGCGTGGCGTGGGACGTGGCGAACCAAGCACGCTACACCCGATTCTGTCCAAAGGTAGCTCTCCGCACCTGCAAACCCCATTACGCGGGTTCGCCTTCGGCTGTTCAACGACTTTTCCACGTTTTTCTGCAGTTTTCCCGCGCGAATGTAATTTTTATATCTTCGCAAGGATCGTGCCTCAATTTGAGCTGCGCCCCTCCCCTGACAGCGTTGAGCGGGGCGCGCACATGTACTTAGAACTTGGCCCCCATTGTCTACTCCATCAGGTCTTTGATGTAATAAGAACCTGAACTTTGGCACTCATAAAATGCATTAAAAACATGCATGTATTATAAACGCCTCTGATACATGAACAAGAGTTTTCCAAACTTAGTTCTGGAGGCGTTTAATCATCATATAAGTTTTTACTTACATGATGAAATGAGGCGCAAACAGCACATTTCAGATAACTGTGAATCTGAGCGCGTGTTTGCGCGCCTGCAAGGATGCACATTTGTTGCATCACGTATGCGGCTACGGTCTCGCTTGTGACAAGAGCGGCGCACCGTCCCGTGTTTCGAAAGTCACTGCTCAGGACCATAGAAGTCATCGTCACGTGCTTCATAAGTCACTGGCCAGGATCCTGGATCCACCACCAGGTCAGTATGCAAAACGCTCATTTTTTAACAAGCCCACCATGGACAGGTTAAATGAAATGAGCTACCCTTGAAATTGAGATGGGGTGGGCCAGACGACCCAAAAATTAGTTGATATATTTTTTGGGTGTGCATACTATATGCAGGGACCTACCACATCTGCAACGCAATGGATATGCGTGTACAGACTAGGCAGGTTGAGGTGATCCAAAACCTCCACTAGGTCCAAGTAATGTAGATCCAAGTAATGTAGGTAGCATGTTCAACTAAGCTTTAATCAGTTAGCTCACTCAGAGCCAAGCTCGTCACTAATTCCACACCAATGAATCGAAAATTTTCGTCCGTCAGTTTCCGCGGCAAACAGCAAAGAAACGAAACCCTGTATCTGCCAATTTCAAAAGCCATGATCCATCCAACCTAGCTTTTGCTGGCCGATTGTTCTTTCCGCCTGTTTCACAGGGCATTTCTCCCATGCTGTAGTGGGCGAGAATTTCCGCCGAATGGTAGTACTCAATAATCGATCTGTCTCGTCGCGATAACGCTGTTATATCGTTGATTTGGTTGTTTGTGCGCGCAATGTATTTTGCTTTACTGGAGTCATTTTCACGCACTTTTGTGCCGTTTTCCAAAACTTATAAAAATCCTCAGATTTTGTTATACCAATAACACAGGAAATCTGCCATCTTCAGGGGCGCAGTCAGAGCCTTGGCAACGAGGGGGGGGGGGAGGCGCAGGGTTGAGAAAGGTCCCCTGATGGTGAAAGGCCCTCTCCCCCAATAAATGTTGTGCAGATTTAGACGTTGTTGGACGTATACGGCTTCGGGAATAAAAAGAGTAAGGTGATGTGCGCCACCATTAAAGGTTGCCGCGGAAGCCCCCGGTGGGTAGCCGCCAGGCGCGCTACAGGCTGCATGTAGAGCGAGGACCCGATTCAGTTTTCAAATTGTTTTCAATACGTTCGAAGTCTTTGAAGCTTGTCTCATTGTCCGCGGTTGGTGTAGGCTGCCGATCACCTCACAGCGATTTTCATTCACCTGCCTTTTGACTTGGACGCTGTCCACTTTGGAGGGATGCAGTAGGCTATGCTGTGAGGTATTGCGGAGGCGAATCCGTCGCGTGTGACGGTCATGAAGCTTCCACCACAGGAATGTCGTTTTGCAAAACAGGTTTGGGGCGCTGAACGATGAAAATGGCTGAACATGCCCATGACGTGCGCTCGAAAAAACAGATTTCTCTCAAAGGTGACATACGTTTCCCCCACAGTATGGAGGCTAGAGTCTCCCCCAGCTGAATAGGAGACTACACTCCTGTCCCTATTCCCCCGCTCTAGTTCAACGAGAGAGGCTGTTGTTGGCCGTCATTGTCACTTTGTTGGGCCTTGGTGATCGATACCAGTTTTTGTTAATCGACGCAGGGTCGATGTTGTGCAGCTTAAGACGTTGTTGGCTGCGGGAAGAAAGAGAGTAAGTTGATGCGCGTGACTATTAAAAGCCGCCACGGAAACCTCCGGCAGGTAGCCGCAAGGCGGGCCTCGGGCTGCATGACAGCATTCGCGGTGGACGTGTCCGGAACGCCCAGTGTTGTTTTACTGATCACTGTCGGACGATTACCGCTATCGGCTGAGTCACGTGATGTCAATCGTCGAGCTTTTGTAACTGTTGCATTGAGTATTTACGTCCAAGTGAGTGTCGGCACATTTCAAGGGTTTTTCCGGCGTAGTCGCTGGTAAATCTGTTACATGTTTTGGTGCCAATATCCGGCTGGTTTTCAATTATCCGTTAACACGTGGTGACAGAATGCCGCAGCGAGCGGAGCTTGTGGCAGTCTTAAGAACTTGAGACATCTCTGAATAATGCCCAAGCACTCAGGCGATGACACAAAACGTGGCTATAGTTAAAAGGCGTATGAATTGTGCCATTGGAACACAGCATGCAGCAAAAACAAACAAAAAATGATCCAATAAACGGGCACGAGCACGAACCCGGAGCTCCAAAAGTTTGACGAGCTCCATCAGCTGCACTGCACCCGACACCACATCACGGTTTGCACTTTCTTTGTTTCTTTTACCTGTGTCATGATTATGAGAAACCCTTCAAATTTATATTATTTTGAGCTCTCACTTTCAATGTTCTGCGTGTACAAACTTAAGCTCCAGAAGTTGGAGGTCAGACTCATCGTTGGGGAGGGAGCGAATTGGACTTGGGGAGGGGAGGTAGGGGCTCACCCAATAGGATACGGATTAACACCCGTGCTTGGGTTTGGCGCACTTCCCGACCTTCGTGACAACTAATGTCAGATAATGTGAGATGCAATAAGAAAAAATGCGATGTGGGTGTGGTAACGACATTCCTGGTGTAGGACGCGGGCTTAATTTCTGTAAAAGTTGCCCATCCATGTCAACAAACTTGTGAATGTGAAAGTGCGTTGGGTGACAAAGTTCACTCTGCCCGTACAATGTGAACTTTGATATGGCAAAGACTGCAGCAAGAGATGACCATCATTTGAAAACCACTGAGAAGCTCCCAAACCGTTACACATGTTTTCGCACTCTTTAGAATAGTGCTGAAGTAGACATCAGCATGCGCAAGAGCCGTTGACTGCTGCAGCGCTAAGCCAAGGCGTCTGATGATGGCTGAGTGTGTTCGTCATTTGCCTGCCGTTTATTTCGCGACGCTTGGGTGACTTTTTGGCGTGACTTTCACCGTCGGGCCAACAACCAGTTTCTGACATCAGCTGTTGAGCCCACTCCCGCCTGACGTGCAGTGCGAGGAGCAGAGCGAGGATGCTGTGCCATATAAGTGAGCAGAGGTGCCTGCACTGGACTCGTGTCCGCCGCCTTTGCCATCTCGCAGGGCCGGTTTTCCGTGCCGGGGGGCAACGTGACGGCCAGTGGCCAATAGGAGCGAGAGACATTGGGTCCACCGCGGCGGCGCCGATGCCTATCTACTGGCGGTCGGCGGCGGAAGGCGACTGCTCCAGCTGGCGGTCCGTGTCTCAAATGGTCAAAGGGATCTTGCGCGTTCAGGGTCGCGAAGTTATCGTAGTATTTCCCGAGGCTAGACAGGACCGGTACCCTTTAATCGCTTTCCACAACAGTGATCGCACTCACGGTTCTTTTAGATATCACAGTTATTTATATATTTTTTCTTTTCTTCTTTTTTCATTTTTTTTAAATTTCGCGCTCACGATTTCGAAACTTCCAGGAAGCGTCAGTGGCGGTGGCTGCTAATAAATTGGCAGTTCTTCCGAAAACGTATCGGTACGACATTCCCCGAGACAGGCCGTTTTCGCAGTCGTCCAAACTTTCGGTTTGACCATTTGAGATACGTTGGTGGCACGGGTCGTGGAGACAGGAGCGCAGTTCCTCACCGTCTCACGGCTCTAATTCAGCTCACCGAGGCGGCACCATAGATATACGCCAATGAGGAGCGCCTCTCGTTCCAAATATGGGCACAAATGGGATCAGCTTATCGAACCCAATACAGACGTGTAGCGGGCAGGAATGGCGCACTGAAATTTTATTCGAATAACAGTTATTGGCATGTGACCTGTAGTTAAATACATCATTCCCAATCACATTTTTCACATGAAATCGACACCTGCCTTGTTTAACGGACATACAGGACCGCCAGCAGCGCATCGCCCGTTGCTATGCGTTGCTATGTCAGCACCGACGACTTATTTGTAAACAAACGCACTTGCTTCCCGCTCGTCCAAGTACGGAATGGGCTTGGGTTGTGACGTCATGAGTAAGGAATGAGCTTACACTGGCTCACGAAGGACTTGGCTCAGGCTTTGATGATTGCCGGGGCTCTGGAAGTAAGCCACTGTGAGGGTTACCGGAGCTCTGGGGAGTTCACCGCACTGGGGTTAGCGAGGCTCTGGGGAGTCGAGGAATCAGCCGCTGTGAGGGCTACCGGGGCTCCGGAGAGCCAGCCGCTGCGAGGGCTACCGGGGCTCTAGAGAGTCGGCCGCTGTGAGGGCTACCGGGGTTCTGGAGAGCCAGCCGCTGTGGGGCTACCGGGGCTCTAGAGAGTCAGCCGCTGTGAGGGCTACCGGGGCTCTGGAGAGTCAGCCGCTGTGAGGGCTACCGGGGCGCTGGGGAGTCAACCGCTGTGAGGGCTACCGGGGCTCTGGAGAGTCAGCCGCTGTGAGGGCTACCGGGGCGCTGCGGAGTCAGCCACTCTGCCGACGGGCAGTCAAAACACTCAACGCAATGATTACTCGATTGCTACCGATGTCTTCACAGCCGTTTGAAGGATAGACGGCATACTTGCGAAGCCCGGCCCTCGACCACTTTCTAAAAACTGGCGGCTATAACAGAGCAGCGCGCCACCTACAATGCATTACACGGAGGAGACCGAGCTGAGTGCGAGGATTAGGAACACGCATGTAGGCGGCCCCACAATGTCTGACGGCTAGCCGCGTCCTGGCAGCCGGCCGAGCCTCGCCAAATGCCGTCCCAGCCGATGATGTGCCTTTGGGCTCTCGAACACCGATGCAGCCGCATCGCACCGGCTGGGAAGCTGGCACTGCCATGCCCACAATCCTCCCTGTTATTCTTGTGCTTGCTGATCACCAGCTATGTCAAACCGCGATCTTTCTGCAGCGGCGCGGAGTGTGTATGGTGAATTTGCAAGCATCGCCTTTTTTGCACGGTTTGCTGCTTATAAGCCACGTTGCAAAAGATTATCTATTTCTGTTCAGCTCCCTGGACTGAATTTTGGGGAATGGCTAGCACGTAGGCCTTTTCCAGATATCACCCAGCCTGTTCACTCCCATTACCGCATTGTTTCGCAGCGCCTCGCGAGCACAATCAGCGTACATGGCTGTACCGCATTCGTCCATCCGTGTGTCACGAGCCTTTCACTCCGGTCAAGGAGTGCAACAAAACGACTATCGACTGGGAGCAGGAAGCCCCAGACCCCAACCAGGTAACATGCAGTGTGTATGGCTGTCTGCACCAGCTGATAGGGTGTGCTCTTTATGATATGACTGAGCAGTTTGGCGCGGAAAGGAAGACACCGATGGATGTATCGGGCGGACGAATTGTAACGCTGATACTTGTGTATTACCGCGCATCAGCATCGTTCGCAAGGAATCCAAATGCTGAAGAGTGTTCAGAAATCGGTCGCAGTTGACTCAGTAAGCCAATGCCGTCACTATCGTCGGCGGACCGACCTCTCGACACTTCAGCTAAGCCAATGGCTCAGCTCGATCTTGCACGCCCAGGCGCTCTGTTACGCTGCGCGCTTCTGGGGGCCGAAATCCATACATTTTCGGTTACCCGCTGTCTTCCCGAGCCGCACTTGTCCAGCCATCGAGAGAATGTCGGTGGACGACTGACGAAAACAGGTCACTGGCGATGATAGCCATCATGGCTGGTGACAGTGTGGTGCGGCGAAATGGGCCTCGTGCCAGGACTGCACCAGTCACGCCCGCCACCCCCACCTCAGATGCTGTGGCGGCCGTTCGCCCTGCCGGACGGCGAGGTCGACTTTGTATCCGGCCTGCACACGGTATGTGGCGCCGGCCACCCGCGCGAGCGGCACGGCTTGGCTGTCCACGTGTACCTTTGCACCGCCCCCATGGGCGACAGCTGCCTCTACAACAGCGACGGGGACTTCCTCATCGGTGAGCACGGCTGCTTGAGAGTGGTCTGTTTCCCCTGCGCCATGCGCGAGGTTCCGCGGACATCGGGTTCCAGTGCAAAGATGGCAGACTTCGTGCTATGTGGGTTGCTAGCCGGGTGGATGAAGCCTCAAGAGTGGTCACTTATCAGGGTTTGAATACTGAACGATTAGGGACAACCCGCGCATCGTCCGTGGCGAAATTGCATGCAAGTGGAAATCTGGCTCCCTTGTGTGCAGCAAACATTCTGACTCATGGAATAGCCCTTGAAGCTACCAACAGTCCTTTAAAGCCTCCTGAACGGCACGAATTCTCCAGCTAGAAATTCCGACCGCAGCCTTCGTCCAACACAGCATGAAGAGAGCCGCTGATGCACGGGGACCGACGCACACGGTCGCTGCGTCGCTAACGCCTGACGTGCGCCGTTCCGGCCGCAGTGCCGCAGCAGGGCGAGCTGCGGATCACCACGGAGATGGGGCGGCTGCGCGTCAGGCCCAACGAGATCTGCGTGGTGCCGCAAGGCGTGCGCTTCCACGTGGCCGTGAGCGGGCCCAGCCGCGGCTACGTGCTCGAGGTGTACGACGGCCACTTCCAGCTTCCATACCTGGGGCCGATTGGTGAGTGAAGCCCAGCGCGCAAGTGGGGAAGCGTCAACACTCGGCGCCTCGTAATAACCAGCAGTGTAACACAGGTGGATGCCATTCGCTCTATCTGTCCTCAACAAATAATAAGAATGCTGTGTTCAGATTCGTGTATTGTACACGAAATAATGTACACTGTTGTCTGTTTATCGCATCGTTTTATCGTCACATGTGATGCAGCTGAACTTTTGACCACCTTTATGGTCTAGTCTGCCGCATTACCATAGCTGAATTTGTAGGGCATGCATTGATATGAGGAGACATTTTCGCCCCACTCAAAGCCTTCTATTGTCGCGTGACCAAAAAAAGACGGACAGAAATTCACGTTAAGCTATGTATGTGTTCACGGTTTAAGTCCAGCAATATTCATATAGCAATGGTAACAGTTTCTTAACCGTGTGATCTAGCCTTCGGGTGACATTTTGCAATACGTTTGCAAGTAATCAGTTTTCTACATGGTGACTAATTTGGCGTAAGAAATACAACCCTTTAGGCCAGTGGCCCAGACGAGTTTGGTCTTCCTTCAAGTTTTCTAGTATCTAGCTCGTACAAAGGTGCACATACCACACCACTCGTAGGGGAATTCGTTGGAGGCTGTGGCCTCCAGTGTTCACAATGATTAGACTGGTTTTCGACATTGGTCGCCGCGACCCTTGACTCCAGGGCTGGAGATCACTTTCGGAAAGTGGGGAGGTCTAGAAGCCAGAAGCCCATTAGGAACCAGTTCGGGATAAAAGCCCTCTCCCAAAAAAGGAATGCATCGGTTTTGAGCCATTTTATTTCGAGAGACACTTTCCCACGATTTAAACCAAACAAATAGAGTTTTTTTGGTGAAAAACTGGCACGCAGACCAGAGCGCGATTGGAAGTGTTATGAGACACCAACGAGCTAAAGGTGCGCCACATTTTGACTCAACCCAAGTATTTGTCACCGCTGGAACAATCATCTGATTTTCTTAAGCAAATTTGACCCGACCGAACGAGTGCCAGTTCCATCCGACTTTATCACCATTTTCATACTTAAGTGCAGCTCATTGCTTGTTGCTCACTTTGATGCATCGAAGGCGCGCACGTTTTGTTTAACGCAAGCGTCTCTCGCCGTATCTACAAAAGCCTGACACGACTTTGTACATTTTACCCACTTTGGACCGACGTAATTACGTCTGAAATATGACCTGGTTCATTTCTGTTTTGACACCATGTTATATGGTCAACACGAATTGGGCACATTTGGCATGCCTTTTGCACCATTTTGAGCACAAAACTCTAAAACTGACATATTCTTTGCAGGCATCATTAAACAGAGCAGTCCACATTTGTATGTGGCTTTAAACTGAAACGGCGTCATTGAAGATCAATCGGCGAAGTTCACAGCCCTGCCCTTTGCAAGACCTAAACCACTGTAGTTTCTGAGTCACATGCTCGTGAAGACGTGAAGACTTCTTGGTCCTAATAAATGTGTCTGGCATTTGTGACCCGGTCTTGGTAAATGACCGGGTCACTACTTCAAGATCGCTCAGGCATCCATGACTCAATAAAACGTCATTTAAATCTTGCCACTCCATTGGTTATGCGAGGATCAAGGCCAAGAAAGATACAACGTTCGTGTCGTTCTTTTTGACGCTTGTAACCGCGATTTTCGGATATAAGGTCCGTCAATTGGCTTTCAATCAATACTGTGCAAGGTACGATGGCATAAGCAAACAAGAACGTATTGAGAAGCATGAATAGAAAAATTGTGTTGTCTTGGGCAGCTTTTTCCACCCAAAAGTATGCAAATCGGGATAAGTGAGCTTATTCCATATATAGGATGCTTGCTTCAATACCTTTAAACGTCGGACAAATTTAAAATGTTTGTCAAATCTCAGGCACATTTTTCATGTCTCTTAAAGGGACATCAGAAAAATACAGTGGTTATGCGGCGCTGCTGAATCCTTGGGCCTTGGTTGTGACCTTAAAAGTTCACCTGGAAGTTGATTGTCATCCTTGGCCGGAATGTATGCACGGCTTTCACATGGGACCTTGACTTACGTGACTGACCTCTGGATGATCTGTTTGTGGTAGAGCAAAGCGGATCGCGTGTCATTACCAGCGGGTTGTTTACCGAGAACTCCCTTTTACGAGGAATTAGCACTCGACACCAAATTCAAATAAGAATGCGTCTCCTACTAAACGGATGTTGAATTGTGTGGATACTCAGGAAGTTTCAAATATAAATGCATGCCTCATGGCTTAGTATATAAGCATGCCTGAAGTTGTCACATGTATCTCATAAACGTACTTCATTAACTCCCTTAAGGCTTGTGAAAAGGGTGCCGGATACAAACATTTCGTTGCATGCGTAACATGATCAAATCTCGCGCTTCCACTTTCTACTCTTATGTGGAGGGGTGGACACTTTATCAGTTGTTTGGTCTTGCTAACGCACACAGTACTTGGTCACGTAAGCTATTTGCCAAGTGCATACGACATGACATGTGCGTCGAAGATCCAGTGCATTCAACTTTCATCTGAAGCCGGACGCCCCAAGATAGTCTTTCAGAGTTATCCACAAAAGTTTGCCACATTGATCCCAACCATTGCAGAATCAGACAATGTCAAAGCCATGAACGGAAAATGCAGATCTTCACGAGACAGAAACTATGAGGTTGCCGCAAATGAGATGCATGTCGCAAGATTGCGAGGAACAATCGAAAAATTCCAGAACAGTGGGCTAGAGCAACGACAATCGTGTGGAATGTATAGGCGGACAAAAGGCTAATCCGTGGAATCAACCGCCAACAACCGCTTTTATTGGAGCGTACGTACGCTATCCACCGATGCCATCAACTGAAGCCGACACTGTCTCACGATCGTGTTTTGCATTGTCACCATCGCCAATGTAATCATCCAATCACCATCGTCAACGTGCTGGCTGTTGTGTTTTACAAGACAGTACTTGGTAGCAACGATAACCAGTGCAACAAGTGCAAACAAACCGCAGGTGAAATCTGAAGGAGAAAGTGGCGATCCACCCGGAGTCAAGCACAAAGAAAAAAAGATATTACACGCGCCTCTGCCTCGCTCCACTAGCCCATCAGGGTTCACGAGGTAAAAGTACTGCTGAAATTAGCACCTAACCTGCGACTCACACCGGCTCTCGGAAGTTGTACCGATACCCACTGTTCATCTGACGGCTGACGTGACTGGCGTACATCAGTAGAGTAACAGACCCCTCCCTCTCACGTGCTGCCCGCAGGCGCTAACGGGCTGGCGAACCCGCGCGACTTTCTGTCGCCGTGCGCCTGGTACGAGGACCGCGACGTGGCCGGTTACCGCGTTCTCTCCAAGTACCAGGGTCGCTGGTTCGAGGCCCGCCAGGACCACTCGCCGTTCGACGTGGTCGCCTGGCACGGCAACCTGGCGCCGTACAAGTACGACCTGGCCAAGTTCATGGTCATCAACGCCACCGCCTTCGATCACGCAGTGAGTTGGGGCGGCAGTGCTGCGCGGTCCGTGGTTCGACAGGGTTGTTTAGTATGTCCGTGAAGTTAGCGATTTATTCAGCGATTTCTTCAGCGACGAGTTCCGAATCCTCTGTCAAGCGGACTTGAAGTCAATTGTGGCATGAGAGCACCAAAAACGACCCTTATTTTGCAATATTATGTGACCTTCAAGGTCAAAATCTGGGTCAAAAGTCGGGGAACTCGGTATCACCAAAAAACTACCGGCCGATTTGAAAACTGTGAACATCAAAATATTCACAAGCGCAAGAGCTAGCGCGCGTCAAAAAGTTCTGGCCTTTCAACGTAACCCTTCAAGGTCAAACGCCGGCTCAAAGAACGGGGAACTCCATATCACCAAAAAATACCGGCCTATTTTAAACTTCTAAACATCAGAATATTTCCCAAAGAAAAACTAGCGTCCGTGAAAAAGTTCTGACCTCTTAAGGTCACCCTTCAAGGTCAAACGCGGGCTCAAAGACGGGGACCTCCATATGACCCTAAAATTACCGTCCGATTTCAGACTTACAAACATCAGGATATTCACCACAGAAAGAGCTGGCGTCCGTCAGAAAGTCCAGACCTTTCGAGGTCACCTTTCAAGGTAAAATGCGGGCTCACAGGACGGGAAACTCTATATCACCCGAAAACTACCGACCGACTTTCAACCTAAAAATACCAGGATATTCACCACATAAAAAACTGGCGTCCGTTAACAGTCCTGACCTCTGAAGGACACCATTCAAGGTCAAACGCGGGCTCAAGGACGGTGAACTCCAATATCACCCCAAAATTACCGGCCGATTTTTAACTTACAAAGATCAGAATATTTGCCACACAAAGAACTAGCGTCCGTCAAAAAGTTCTGACCTCTTAAGGTCACCCTTTCAGGTCAAACGCGAGCTGAAAGGATGAGGAACTCTTGTAAGTTTGAGATCGGCCTTTGGGTGATATGGAGTTCTCTGTCTTTTAACCCCGCGTTTGACCTAAAAGGGTGACCTTAAAATGTCACGACTTTTGAACGGACGGTTACTCTTTCTGTGATGAATGTTCTGATCTTCGTAAGTTCAAAATCGGCCAGAATTTTTGTGTAATACAGAGTTCTTTGTCCTTTAAGGCCGCGTTTGACCTTGAATGGTGACCTTGAGAGGCCAGCACTTTTTGGCGGACGCTAGCTATTTCTGTGGTGAATATTCTGATGTTAGTAAGCAAACATCGGCCGGTAATTTTAGGGTCATATGGAGTTCCCCGTCTTTGAGCCCACGTTTGACCCTGAAGGGTGACCTTGAGAGGTCAGGACTTTTTGACGGGCGGTAGTTATTTCTGCGGTAAATATTCCGATGTTTGTACGTTCAAAATCGGCTAGCAATTTTTGGATGATACAGGGTTTCCCGTTCCTTGAGCCGGCGTTTGACCTTAAAGGGTGACCTTCAGAGGTCTGCACTTTTTGACGGACGGTAGTTCTTTCTGTGGTGAACATTTTAGTGTTTGTGATTTAGAGTTCCCCGTCCTTTGAGCCCGCGTTTGACCTTGAAGGGGACCTTGAGAGGTCAGAAGTTTTTGACGGATAGTAGTTTTTTCTGCGGTGAACATTCTGATGCTTGTAAGTTAAAAATCGGTCGGTAACTTTTGGGTGATATGAAGTTCCCCATCTTTTGAGTCCGCCTTTGACCTTGAATAGTGACTTCTAGAGATCCAGACTTTTTGACGGACGCTAGTTCTTTCTGTGGAATTCCCCGTCCTCTGAGCCCGCGCTTGCACTACGCACCCTAGGGCATTTGGGTGTCGAGATAACTATTCAAAGCAAAACTATGGCAGCGATGCTCACTGCGGATTGGAGGTGCCAGTTCGCCGGCGACTCAAATTTGCGGGATGTGATTTGCGGGTTGCATCGGGCCCCGCACTAGTTCTGGCTGTTGATTGGCGGAGAACGCGTGCGATTGGTGGCTTGTGTTTGGCGGGGAGGCGGCCTGGAATTTGCCATCGAAGCGTCTGCAGCCGGCACCTTTAAGGGTGACCTTGAGAGGTTCGGACTTCTTGTCGGACGCTAGCTCTTTTTGTGATGAATATTCTGATGTTTGTAAGTTAAAAATCGGCCGGTAATTTTTGGGTAATATGGAGTCCCCGTCCTTGAGCCCGCGTCTGACCTTGAAGGGTGACCTTGAGAGGTCAGGAGGTTTTGACGGACGCTAGTTCTTTCGGTGGCGAGTATTCTGATGTTCGCAAGTTTAAAATCGATCGTTAATTTTTGGGTTATATGTTGTTCCCCGTCGTTTAAGCCTGCGTTTGACCTTGAAGGGTAACCTTGAGAGGTCAGGATTTTTGACGGGCGATAGTTCCTTCTTTGGGAAATATTCTGATTATTAGAAGTTTAAAATAGGCCGGTAATTTTTGGGTGATTTGGAGTTCCCGTCCTTTGAGCCGGTGTCTGGCCTTGAAAGGTGACCTTGAGAGGTCAGAGCTTGCGATTGTGCGCTAGCTCTTTCGGTTCTGAATATTTTGATGCTTACGGTTTTCAAAACGGCAGTTTTTGGGTGATATCGAGTTCCCCGTCATTTGACCCAGCTTTTGACCTTGAAGGTCACATGATATTGCAAAATAAGTGTCATTTTTGGTGTTTTCATGCCACAATAGGCATTGAGACACCTTTCAGGGAAATCGAAAACCGTCGCTGAAAAAAATCGCTGAATAAACCGCTAACCTCACGGAGGTTTGTTTAGTGCGTGTGAAATGCTTTAACCGCGCTTTTAAGTACGTGTACAATGCTCCCGGTGTTGCGAGGGGAAAAGTTCTAAACCTTAAAGCCGTAAGACATCAAAGCCATCTTGTTATATGTCTTGTTTGGGACGAAGAGCCCATAATCATATTATAATACTGACCGCAACCACCGTACGATGTTCGCCGCATTTTGAGTACGCCACTCATGTGGGGCGTGCTGCTTTTCTGTGATGTCATAACTAAGCAGATTGCATCGATGTCATGACTTCACGTTGCCGTGAGCGAACGGTGACCCGGTGACCGTCGCCAGGACCCGTCCATCTTCACGGTGCTCACGTGCCAGTCGACGCAGCCTGGTGTGGCGATCGCGGACTTCGTCATCTTCCCGCCGCGCTGGGCCGTCCAGGAGCACACCTTCAGGCCGCCCTACTACCACAGTCAGCGCACACTAGGGACTTCCCGCGGGCTCCGTGAAGAGCGCATTTGTCTCCCCCCCCCCCCCCCCCCCCCCCTGCTACATGCTACTGCTCCCAACTCCCGCCTGACTGCGCTACGCTGTGCAGATTTCCCAGGTCCTGCTGCCGCAGCCTAAAACTCGCGGCATTCAATCACGCTCTTCCAGCGAGCGCGCTGGATTGTGCCGGGAGTACGTGGCCCAGAAAACGCACCACTCGGGCGTGATTTTGAGCTCAACTTCAAGCGGTATGTCATCGATGAGCACGTTTTTCTCACCATGCTCTTTAGTTCTCCCTGCCTCATGGTCCTTGCTTCTTGTTTCCGAGGCATGGTGGCTGATGGTTCACTTCGATATGTCCGTCTAGGATAAGTTATTATCCCAACGCTGGTGGCGTCAGACGCCCCCCCCCCCCCCCCCCTGGTTGATACGCCACACAGCTCTGGTATCCGCAATGGACCAAAACTCCGCTTCCGTTACTACCCGCACGCCCGTCACTCGCCGATCGATGCTAAGCTCACGGGAGCGGAGCTCGCCAGCCGTGCACCGCTTCGTCCACCTCCCGCCGCCAGGGAACTGCATGTCCGAGTTCATGGGGCTCATCTACGGCAACTACGAGGCCAAGGAAGAGGGCCTGCAGCCGGGCGGCGCCACGCTGCACTCCATGATGACACCGCACGGTCCGGACGCCAAGTGCTTCGAGGCGGCGAGCAACAGCGAGCTGAAGCCCGTCCACATCGCTGGCGGCACGCAGGTGCGCTCGCGCCGGGAGACCCGGCCGCTCCGGCCGCACGCTACAAGCAGAGACGCTGTGTGGCTGCGTCCCGCCGGACGGACCGGGCGGAAGTCGCTCGTGGGGATAGCGAGGGAACCGTTCCGACGGCTCTACTTGGTGGCCGGGATATGCACGCGATCTGACTAACGCCATCGTTGGTGTTCCGCAGGCTTTCATGTTTGAGAGCTCTTTGGGCCTGGCCATGACGTCCTGGGGCCACCGGACCTGCATGAAGACCAATCCAGACTACTACAAGTGCTGGCAGACGCTGAAGAAGCACTTCACGCCTCCCGCCATTGGAACGCGTGGGTAGAGCATGTCACCCAGCTGGTGGAGCACGGCCGGATGGTGTTGGCATGGAGAAGAAAGGCGCTCCTTTTCCGGCACAACAGGGGGAGGGGGCAGGAAAAAGGAGACCGGATCGGAAGCATAGGCGGATCAGCGAACACAACATTCGGATCAACGGTCAGCCTCTTTTCGTGTATCACAGAAACATTTCGCTGGCGCCACCTATATGCATTTAACTTAGCACAGGATGATGCACACCACCAAAATTCCCAACGCTGCATTTAAGAAAAGCAGGATTGTTTCACGTTGGAAGAGGTTCAAATGAAATAGGCAGACTCGAGAAGCATCCAAGACCGGGTACCGCACTATGACGTCACGCGTCCCCCTTTTCGCAGCGGAGGAATAGACCAGCGCCTGGGACCGGACCAGACAAGACCCATGATATCGGAACAAACAAAACGGACACTTCATCACAGCCCCTGGCGGACGTCCGACCTACGCTACACAATCGTCCGACCTACGCTGCACAATCGTCCGACCTACGCTACACAATCGTCCGACCTACGCTGCACAATCGTCCGACCTACGCTGCACAATCGTCCGACCTACGCTGCACACGCCATCGTCGCCATTCACACGGCATGACCGCTGGACTAGCCGCAGCGGCGCTGCCAGGGGAGAGGGCTAGCCTGGCTGCCGTGCTGTGGGTTGCGCTGGGGCGGCGGTGGCCTCGGGCGGCTGAGGCGTGGCCAGCCCTCGGGGTGGGACCAGCGGGTTCTGTGGAGGCGGCGCCAGCCAGCTGATGTCGCCGGGCAGGACACGGAGACCGCAGTGCCGCGCCACCGACTGCGCTTATCGGCTGCCGGAGCCTGGCTCCCGAAACTGCCTAGCGGGGCCACTGCCAGAGCCTGGCTCCAGCCCAATATTATTAAGCACACAGTCCTAGCGGAGCCATAAATCGTGTACCGGGATGAGTAATGATCCATATCATGTGCGCGCTAGCATTGATTGTACTTCCACTTATCAGCAACCGTTTGTGCGCACGTCAGCTTTATTTAAAAAGCAGTGGAGTGAGATTACGAGGCGGCTACTGCTATTTGACCACCGAAGGAGCACTGATCATGCGCTAGAGTGCGCACTCATTTATAGCAGAGCTCTGCATATTGTGACATAACCCCTATTATCACCCCCACGGACTGTCCTCCAACGCGCCCGTCTTGCCCGAGTGGTGTTCAAGACACTGGCCGTAAGCCGCCGGCCCGCGGCCGGGCGGGCAGAGCGACATCGACTAGCATTCCCGGTAATAAGCCGAACCTGCGCGTTCACCGTAGGCTTACGGCAACGCCTCAGTGTCAGCGCTCATGGCTTGTCTGGGAGATTTTTATGTCTGGAAGATGTTTGTCGTTGTCCACCCAAGTTAAGTCGTCTAAGGGTGATGGGTTTTGGAGCATATCAATATGTGGCCTACCGGCAGTAAGGTCACCTATTATGTACTAAGCGCGAGTGGCGACTGCGAATAGCTGGTGCTTAACAAAGTGACGATGTTGTAATAAACTAAGTAATGTTGCGCGTCATACTGTATCGCTAACTAATATCACATCATCTGGTTGGGCCGAAGACGTGCAATAAACCGATGTCACGCTGCGGATGAGTTTGTTCCGGGCATTACCACGGTCACGCATCCAGCGTGAGGGTCATACTCATTACTTCTTTGAAAGGATTGAAATTTTCATAAAAACTTAGGTCCAGAAACAGGTTGTTCGAGGTGGCAAACGTCATAGAAGCAACATTGTTCTGGAAATGGCTTAATGGGTGAAGTAACGTTCCAAACTGCACGGCGATGCAGCAGCGTATTCGCTGCAGCACAAGCGGACTTTCTGTCTTATGTCGACCTCCGCCTGCTGACCAATTTCGACCAGTGTCAACACAAATAGTGCACTTGTTCATTCATTCATTCAGTTCAATATTTCATTCAAATAGTTCATTTGTAGCCTCTAACGTGTGGAAACAGCCATTGACATTACTTACGTGTGCTAATGTAACATTGGACAGCTGTGTACTTAGAATGCGAGTTGCTCTTAAATGGATGACAAAGTCAAGTGGGAAATACTGAAGCACTGGACAATGGTCTTTCGGCCAGGTGCGCTGAGAGATCATAGTCGCTTTCAGAAATTATGTACACCGATGTATTATATACATTGTTACCCAGACTACAGCGCAGGCTGAAAGAGATGACAAAACAGAGCGTGCATACCATCTCTGCTGATGGAGTACAGCAGGGCCGCCGCCTTGCCGTACTCAATCAGCAGAGGTGGATGGGCTATCATGGACGCGCATGTGTCATACGCGGTCGCCACGTCAAGCTCTGTATCACCATTGGACAATGATCATTCGACTACAGCGCACGTGCAGATCATTTACTCCGACGCAATTGGTTTCCACGGCGACGAGTAGTTTTCGACGGTGAGCTGTTTAAAGCGCCGCACCTTCAGAGTCAGCTTGTCCGGGTCGGACCGCGAACGGTGGATGTCGAGGACCTGCACCCGCGAGACGTCCAGGAACGACGTGTTCAGCGCGTTCTCGCCGCGCACCACGTCCACTTCGTCATCCACCGTCAGCTGCCGAACAGTTGTCATCCCCATGATGTAGGCCAACAAAATCACATGACTGAACACACACACAATCATGGATGGGCATTTTTGACAAAAACATGTTGGATATAGTTAAACACTTTAACACAACTTGGTTGTTCATTCACAACATCCTGTCCAAATGACTGTTTCAGTCTGCCAGTACACACAGCCAGTGCATAATTGAACACTTGAAAGGTTGGTGAAAAACAAATCTCATGAAACAAATATCATCATGTCCATAATAGGACTGCCCCCACTTACTATGTAACATTTAACTGGCATTTTTTCAGCAATATAATTTCATAAGCTCATCTCAGCTTGTGAATAGGAAAGGCATATCCTGCTGTCAGAGGCATAGTTTCACAAAATGATTTAGGGAAGGGGCAGGGCTGAATGGTGAAAAATTACCCAACCTGCCCCAAAATATGCCAACAAACAGGTATCCACCCAGATTTTGTTCACGGTCTTCACTAAGTTGGAAGGGGAACCAAATCCCAAATTGGGGGGGGGGGGGGGGGGGGGGAGGCTGAAGGCCTCCTGAATACCAAATTACAGCCCTGCAAATTGGGTCTGGCCCAAGTGCTTACAGGATGGCTCTTCTTGATCAGCTTCTCTCCATTGAGGTAGATGCTGCTGCTATAAAATGCATTGTCCACTTTGCTGAAAGAAATCAACATGTACAGTTAAAACTGACTCAAGCATATGTGCATAAACAGAATGAGCTGAGCTATTGGTAATTAAGAATGACAGATAGTAATTGTCATATGCTGGATATATACATACACATGCATATCACTCAAGTTAACATGTAACAGTGCAAAGGTCTCCAACATTGCAATTTGACAGAACATTTAAGTTGCAACCTACTTTCTAGACATTCCCAGACCAAATTTAAGCACAGCATCTATTCTGGTAGAGTTGGCATGGCCTTTTAAGACCTGGAAGTCCTTGGATTTTTCCTCTTCCTCATCATCAGATTCTTCAGACTCACTACCAGCCTGAAGAGAAACCCAATAAGTCAACTAGATAGCCATCCATGTGATAGCCAATAGTAATAACTCCCAAGCATGGTAACTTACACTTTGGAACCATTACCAAGGACCATTGTATCAGACATGGCATGGGCAAGATCCACCCAACTGTTTCCTGTTTAATATCTGAGAAACAACTGTTCAAAGTACAGTATATTAAAAAGTACAAAGTATCCCTACCCATATCTACAAACAAAATAATGCATCACATCTTGGTGAATGTGGCTCCATGCATGGCTGTCATCCTAAATGGTTAAAATTCCATGGTAATCCATGGAAATCTGCAAAGGTACATACACTTACACTTGCCCTGCGGGACCTCTTTGATTTGAACCGACGTTGCACATACAGGCTCTGGCATGGGAATATTTCTGTATGCCTTGAGCTCTCACTTGACACTGAATATGTGCACATCAATGGAGTACTGGGCAAATGCATAAGGCATCTGATATGGCGGAGGTCTCCGACCATTCTGGAATAGGTCTCCCTCGCGTATCTTGCCAATATTGGCAACCGTAGTATTTGCCCTGGTAACACATGCGACATTAGTAATCTTTTGTGTTTTAAATGCCAGATAGCCTCTGAATTCTTTTGTGCTAGTTCGAGAGCCTATTCCGGTCAGGTATCGCGAAAACAACACAAGCGGCTCCACAAACGGACATTGCTGAATGCAAGAAGGAAGATACGTGTTGTCTGGAAAAGTCAAACAAAATCAACCATTAGCCTGTTCAAGATTCTGGTCGCACACTGTTGCTTTGCACCCCAAACCAATACAAACTAAGAAAGTATCGCAGGCGCAGATTATTTGGCTACTGATTCGTTAAAAAAACGCGCATCCTGCTCACATTGCTACGTGGAACATTACTGATTATTCTAATGTTAAATGACGCTTATAGTACGTTTGTGGTTCATGTGTGGTACGCGCTAGGCGGGCACGCGTTTCAAGTCGTGGGTAATTTGAGGTGTTTTAAACTGTGCATGTTCTTGGTTGTCATTACGTAATGCCGCCGCAACACATGATTACGTGTGCGATTGATTGCTTGCCACAAACGGAGTGCGGCGACAGCTGATGCGGTGAGCCGATGAATGTACTTGGCTGTAACTGTGAAAGCGTGGGGGTGGCATTGCAGATGTCACTTCTGCGAGCTGTGGAGAGTACTTTCCACTCTCCTGTTGAACTGTTTTTACTGAACTTTGGGAATGTGCGAGGTATCCACCTCACAGTGTGTAATCTGTGCCTCAGCTCTGTATCTATCAACAGCGTACTTGATGACTTAGGTGCACCATGTACAGGGTATGTAGGTTGAGGTTGGCATTACCAATATTATAATAAACCTACCTTTCAAGTCCCAACAGTATAAAATTCCCAGCTTACAAAAATGTGACACCATCAAGAATAACAAAGTGCAGAAAGTGGAATTGTGGTTTTTAGACTAATCTAATGTGCACCCCCTGGGCATGTCATGGCCTTCTAAAGGGTGGATGCTTATATAGCTAGTTTTTTTTGTACACTTGCTTGCACCCATACACCCTAAATCTTGTCTCATTCTGCATTTTGCTGAAAGGGCAAGGGTCTGCAAGTGTAACATAGCTCATGCCATTGGGAGATTGGGTTGGCAGGTGTGTGTTAGGTTTGCTCTTCCCATGGAGTTTCAGCTGTATAATGTCAAAATCAAGGTCATGGGAGGCACATCATCCTGTGCCCCTGCTGGCACAGCACCTGTCAGTGTGTGCCATGCTGTAGAAAAAATTGCAGCTATCATAAGTTATATAATGGGCTTCTCTGTGGTGAAGTATGTTTCCATGGCTGGCTTTACTAAAAAAAAACAACATTGATTTGCATTGTTTGAATCTAGTAAGTGCAAAAACACATTGAGCATGATGGGAATTTCATTTAAAATAGCACAAGCTAGGATAATAGCATGTTGCATGCTGCACAGTGGGCAAGTAATGTAGGATCTTTATGAGCTGGTTACTAAAGTATGAATGCCTTTATTAACAAATGGCTTGCCTACATTGCATTTGTTTATCTCACTGTTTGCTTGAAATGACCCCAACAATTATCACTATTGGTACTTTCCACACAACAATTGTAACCTTTACAATTATTCAGTTTCTTGCATGCTGACACTTAACGCTAAAGGTGAGTATGTGAGTTCTTATAACTGTATAAATGCCCCTTCACATTTCATGTTATGGGTAGCCACATTTGTAGTGTGAGCAGCTGTTCTCCATAATTTGTTTTCTCCATGTTCATGCTATCACATTTTTGCAAGATGGTTATTGCTCAGTGTTTCTTTTCCATGTAATGTACTGGTATGCAGGTTTATGCACAGTATCTCTTCTGCCCATGGCTGGCACTGTTCTGCTTTCTCACAAGGGAGTTGGCACCCAGCCAACATCTGGTGGGGGTGGTCAGATGAACTGTTGAGGCGGAGTGAGGCGCAAGCAGTCCGAGCATGGCTGTGCTGGTGCTGGGCGGCGGCGTGACCGGTCTGGCAGCCGCCCACTACCTGCGCCAGCTGCGGCCCACACTGCCCATCACCGTGCTGGAGGCGGCGCCGGCCGTCGGCGGCTGGGTCCGCACCACGCGCCACAAGGACGGCGGTCTCTGGGAGCACGGGCCGCGCACGGTGCGGCCGGCTGGCCAGCAGGGCGTCAACACCCTGCAGCTGGTGGAGCAGCTGCAGCTGACTGAGAGGTACTGGTCCACTGTGACTGGGTGATAGGTCACAGGTCAATTCCAGGCCGTTGATGGCTTACAAGTGCTACCAGACACAAAATAACTCGTAAACATGGATAAATCACCGATTTTAGCGGACAACAGATAACTATTGGCTCACAGCTTTTTGCTTCCTGCAATGTGGTAGAAATAACTGCATCCAGTATAAGCGAGCAACATATTATCACACAAATACTTCCAGCATTGTGTGTCTATTGAATTTAAGCACATGTGTATCGAGAAGACCAAATAAGAGTAAATTTGTAAACCCCAAAAATAATGCCCAGCCCCCCCCCCCCCCACCCCCCCCAGGCTGAAGATAATCCCTCAAGGACACCCAGCGACCCTTAACCGGATGATCATGACCGGCGGCGAGCTGCACAAACTGCCGACCAGCCTGTGGAGCACGCTGCGCTGGCTGAAGCCGTTCCGGCGGCCGCTGGCGCTAGCGGCGTTGCGCGACTTAGCAGCGCCAGCACGTCGCGGCCTGGCCGACGACAGCCTGTACGCGTTCGTGGCGCGCCGGTTCGGCAGCGACGTGGCGCAGTTCGCCGTTGACCCGCTGGTGCGCGGCGTTTGCGCCGGCGACGCGCGCCAAATCAGCGTGCGTTTCCTGATGGACACGCTGTTCGAACACGAGCAGCGCTACGGCAGCGTGCTCTGGGGCATGTGGAAGGAGCGCGGCCGTGCCGCCGCGCCCGACCCCGGCGGCAGCGAGCTGGCGCGCCGCGCGCAAGCCGAGCGCTGGAGCGTCTGGAGCCTGGAGGGCGGCCTGCAGACGCTGCCGGAGGCCATGGCGGCGCGGCTGGCCGCCGATGGCGTCGCCGTGCTGCCGGACGCGCCGGCCACGCGGCTGGAGCTGTCACCGGACGGCGCCACGGTCCACTCGCCGGCCGGCAGCCACCACGCCGCCCAGGTCATCTCGGCGCTGCCGGCGCACGCGCTGGCACCGCTCGTGCCGGACGCGTCGCTGGCGGCGCTGCTGGCGCAGATCGAGTCAGTGACGGTGGCCGTGATCACGCTCGAGTACGAGGGCCAGCTGCTGCGCGAGCCCGGCTTTGGCTACCTGATCCCGTCGTGCGAGCCGGCCGACGGCGTGCTGGGCGTCATTTTCGACACGTGTAGCTTCCCGCAGGGCGACAAGACCGTGCTGACGGTTATGTCGGGCGGAGCCGAGATGGAGCGGTACTACGGCGTCCGGCCGAGCCGGCAGCGGCTGCTGGACGCCGCGCTACACGAGGTGCGACGCTCGCTCGGCGTCACGGCCCGGCCCAGCCGGCTCTGCGTGCAGCTGCAGGAGCGCTGCATCCCGCAGTACCGCGTCGGACACCGCGCCCTGGTGCAGGAGGTGCGCGCAGCTGTCGGCCGCCTCGGCTGGCCGCTGCTGCTGGCCGGCGCCGCGTTCGACGGCGTCAGCGTCAACGACTGTATTCTGAGCGGCCGCCGCGCGGCTGAGGCCGTCAGCAGCGCGATGGACGAGCAGTGATGAGACGAACCCTGAGGAGACGGTGTCAGCTGACGCCGAGCGGGACAGTTGTGCCATCGCACCGGTCTGGTATGCGGCGGTGACGTTATTCCATTCCGCGCAAATCAGCGTGGCGACTCCTGTCTTGCGCCGTCCGGCGGCGAGTGCTTCAAACCAGGGGACGCAGCGGCGCCATCAGCACCGGACGAGTCGGTGTCGGGCCTGTGGGGGCTGGGTCTGCCGGTGCGAATGTCCGCGTGGGCCCGCGAGATGTGACACCGGACTGGATGGAGGGCATTTGTGAGATCAGGTAGGCAGCTGGGGTTTTTGCATGCCGTGGATACTACAGGTTGTGGACTGCGCTGGACGGGCAGTGCTCACTGGCACAGTGGTGATGTTCTTCTTGCTACAAATGGTGAAATGTGATGCAATTGTACAATTGTGATTGAAAAACAGCTGGGACGAACAAAGTATAGCAATGCTATACTGCAATGTAGTGTTTGATTATTTAAGTATTTTTTAAGCTGAACTGTTGGGTTTTGAACGCAACTGTACAAACGAACATAACATCGAAGGTTAACACATGTTTCGGCAGGAGGGGAATATTGATGCATGGTGTGGAGACTACAGTCACCGTAGACATTGCGTTCGCAGCAGTCTCCGCGCAATGCGACCGCTTTTTAGCACTGTCGCGGTGGTCGTGCGATACGTGACCTTCTGTTGGAAGGCGGCCTTTCAGGTTCCGTGCCTTATGGATAGGATGGCGGCAATATCACATGGTTGGACGTGTGGCACGTGTAAACAATATAATATGGCTGGACGTGCGAGACCATGCGAACAATATCACGTAGCTGGACGTGCAAGATATGTGAATGATATCACCTGGTTGGGTGTGCGACACGTGAACAAGATCACATGACTGGACGTGTGAAACATGCGAACAATATCACATGGCTGGACGTGCGAAACATGTGAAAAATATCACGTGTTCGCACAACGGGGTGGTCAGTTTCAGGGTAGCTGTAGTCTGCTGTGAACTCGAGAAGCCAATGCGACTTTTCATGCAAGTCAAAGCGGCTTCTCACTGTTTTTTTTTCTGGCATAGCCAGCGGGAGTGCATCAGAATCCATCAATTGGCTTATTAGATACTCCGGGATTGTGGTCGTTGCATCAGATAGTGCGATGTCGTAGGCGTTGCAACAGATGGTCTGGTATCGTAGTTGCATGAAAGTCCGGTGCCGTAGTAGCTCGTTAAGTCATTGCATAAGATACTCCGGGATCGTAGTCGTTGCATCAGGTAGCGCGGTGCCGTAGGCGTTGCAACAGATGGTCTGGTATCGTAGTTGCATGAGATAGTCCGGTACCGTAGTAGCTCGTTAAGTCGTTGCATAAGATAGTCCGGGATCGTAGTCGTTACACCAGATAGCCCGGGGTCCCAACTGTTGCATCAGGTAGGGTGGGATCGCAGTCATCGCGGTGCCGAGCGTAATTTAGCGTTTTTAGACGCCAAGTTCTACTGGTTCGGGGATGGATCTCAGGCATTAGACCTCTGCGTTGTTGCGTTGTCCTCATGCCTGCGAATTCCGTTCACACGCTGAAAACGTGCCAGATGTAAGCCATCCGTAGCTAGGCAAACCTTTGGCGGGCCTGTGCACGCATCTAGTCCGCACTGTAAGGACCACGTAGTGAAGCCTGTTTGTTGCCTGATGACCTGCGCGTCTCATCGTTGCCAAACGCCATGACATCACCATGAGAACACCTTTAATCGTAAGAACCACGTGTTTCGACAGATGATAATGCGTGACAGCATAGGGAGGACAGGATGCATAAACTGCTCCGACACCGGCCCGTCGCTTACAACAGACATAGGATAACTTGCAAGCCGTGTTGAAGACGCGATACATCTGGAAGTGGAGACCTCGGACGTCTATGCAGCATTACCGTCAGCGTGATCTGCTTCTTGAACTATTCCACCGACAACATAAGCTCTACTGCAACTAAAATCACAGGCCCAGTTACATGCACAGCGAGCAACAACGAGCGCCGAAACAATACAATGCCGCGCCATCTCTCGGCGAAGCGGGCAGCACCATGCGGCTTCTCCAATGCTAGTAGTCACGCGCCATTTGGTTTTGATCACGCGGCGATTAGCCATCCGACACAGTCCTATCCACAACAAACGAAACCTCAACGCTCGAACACATCAACAAAGTTACAGGCGGGGGTCCAGTGATAAGCTTCGTGTCCCGAGTCGGCGCGACCAGCCGGCTCGGGCCCGCGCCGCTCTGGGCGCCCCGGCCGTGACCTCCGCGGCGGCGGCGGCCGGCGGCGCAGTCTACCGCGACGGGCAGCGGGTCTGGGTGATGCGCATGCGCGGCTGTCCCGCGTCGCGGTCCGTCTCGCTCTCCTCGGCCACGTGCACCACGATGCTCGGCTGCTGGTCGCGCCCGTCATGTAGCTCGTGGCTCTCGCCTGCCGGCAGGGGCGCGCCGTCACGCCGCCGGGCCGAACCCCGCGCACTGCGCCGGGGCGAGCGGCCGCTGCAGGCATCACTCGGGGTCATCAGGACAGCGGCTTTACACCGGACGTCCTATCAAACGGCGGGATGAAACACGCGACTGAACGCCTCCAAGCATGTAGCGACTCGTTTCCGTTCTGACAGTGCCTCCACGTTCTGAGGAATGGTAATCAGCATGTGTGCCCGTTTGCCCGGGCCGACGGCGGACCGGCGTCCCCTCACCGGGCGCCATCTCGGTGACGGCTCGCAGCAGGTCGAAGTTGACGGTGGGCTCGGCCTCGCGCACCGGCTCCCAGCCGACCGGCGGCGAGGCGGGCGGCGAAATCAGGAACTGCTTGTCCGGCATGGGCGGGTGCAGCGTGCCGTCATCCAGCTCGTCGCGCGACGACTGAGGCTGGAGCAGACCCCGGCGTCGGTCGGGTCAGCGCGGAAAGCCCGCACCGGGCGTCATCATATCGTGCTACGGCGGTAACGGGGACGGTGGAGTTTCTCGGGAGCCCTATCGACATTGTGTTGCCGTGAGAACCGCGGCTGGACCCCGACTGCCGGGGATATTCGGGCTGGCATGGAAGCGGAGCATCATACTACGGTGTGTTTGAAGGAAGTGACGCTGTAACAGCGGCCACAGAGCCATTCAGGATGTTTGAGTACCCAACAACTCTGAATTGTCCGCCGGGCTGGGGCCGGGACGCAGCCGTCGGCGATGGTCAGACCAACATGGGATCGCCGGTGTCGTGGTGCCGTTATCACGCTGCGTCCAGGACACGGCCGGCCGGGTCACACGGCGGTCCCACGTGCGACAGCCGCTGTCTGACCGACCGCAGCACAGTTCTTACGGTTACTCGGGTACGAAAACGTCAACGTCCAATGAATCGAAAGTTACTAGCCGAACATCAGGGAAGGCGTAGCATTCGGACATCAGTCGAAATTCCCTTTCAACGCGTACTGAGCGGCAAAGTAGTACACTATGCCGCACGTATGCTTTAGGTGATAACTGTAAGACGCGTTACCCAGCTGAACTCTCTTCTTCAGTCCGTACCGATCAGGTTTTCGACTGGAACGACGCGTTTTCCCGGGCCTTCTTTACACTTGATTATAATCCCTCATCGGACATTTGGCAGCGCATGCGTTCACTAGTTGTGGCCGAGGGCTCCAACAGACACAGCTGTACGGTACCATGCTGAGTGCAGTCCGATACATAACATGCACGTGGTGCGAGCCAGATGTGCTGTCTACCGGTCGTGTCACACAGCCAGCTGGCGTCGTATGGTCACTTGAGGCCAAGCCGTACGGAGAACACCAGGCTCCCGCTAAGGCGCATGTGGCAGCAGCGAAAAACGCAGCGTTGCAGCCGGTGACGCGGCAACATTTCTGTAACTGCGCCAGCCACGCAGCATATGAACACACCGACAAAGAAACTAAATAAAGAGGACTTCGCCATTTTATGCATTTCAAGTTAACGGTGCCTGCCCTGCGGCAGATCGTCGCGGAATGATTGGAGGAGCGGAGCGTCTGGCCCTCGGCGTCTCCCTCCGGACCACGCTGCGGCGTCGCTTCTCCGTTGCAAGCCTCGCTCGGGCGCCCACCACTCCGGTCGAGCTTCGGTCCACGCTCGAGCGGCGGCCGGAGCCAACAAACACGTCCAGCCCGCTCCGGAGCCAACAAACACGCCCAGCCCGCTCCGGCGGCGAAACTAGCACGAAATCGTGAACATGGAATAGAGCCGTGGCAGGAAAACCTCAGGACGTGTCAGTTTATAGTCTTTCGTGGTCTCTGCACGACGACGTAGTTACATAACCACCTTATCACTTCACCCTTTTGCCGACCTCTTGTTCTCGGACGTCGCTGGTCTCCGTCGAATGGTGACTACGACGAGTATTTGGTGACCACTTTTTTGAAGTATTCCTAATCACCGCTGCTATGCACAAGTGATGATGATTGGGACCGACGGGGGCACCGGCGGTCGAGGGCACGTTACGCCCAGCATGCACACGTGAGAGCAGCCCCCACTTGTTTTCCGAAATGGCTGCGGGTCAAGGCGAGGAGAGAGTGGCGCCCTCACCTGGATGAAGTAGCACTTGATTGTGGCGCCGCAGATGCTTGTCTCGTGCAGGTGGATACGCGCGCTGGCTGCTGCCTTCGGGGTGCTATAGTTGACTCGCGCCCGACGAAAGCTGGGGAAGTACTGGAACCAGGCCTCGTCGTCGAAGGCCATGAATGTGTCTTCGAAACTGGCCTGCCAAAACCATCCCCGTCCTCAGTTTCGTGGCGAACATGGCTGGCAGAAGTTGAACACCAGTGACCTTTTTATCCAGGAACCGCGACGGGGAATGTCAAGTGACACTGGTCACGTCGTGTAACTGCCAGCCATAAGAAACCTTACGCACGTATTTACAAAGCGTTTGAAAACAATATCAGGATTCAACTCCGTATGTCCTTGTCTAATGTGTCACATGACTGCAGTTTTCGAGAAAAACGCAGCCCCCACCGTTTTAAGTGAAGCACACCCCACGCGCGGGGTGCAAGCACACGCCGCGCGAGCCAGTCCTGCAACAGGTGCCCACCTTAATCGCCTCGTCCTCGAACGCGTCGAGCGGCAGGTTGCACACGTGGATGGAGGTGGGCAGGTCGGCGTCGTCCAGCAGCTGGGCGGCGGTGCCGGCCGCCAGGGCGCGCGCCAGCGTGTCGTCGGCCGGCTCGTCGGACGAGCGGCTGGCCGAGCTGTCCTGAGACTCAAGCGAACCGCGGCCCGCTCCCTGACCGGACATGGCCGCCGGCCCCCTAGCTCATCGCCGACTGGGACAACCTGCCCACACACCGGGCACACAGCTACACACACACTATGTGGAACAGGTATGAGGAACATTGCATCACAGAGCACAGAAGGAAAGGAGATGTAGCACCGAAGGTGATGATAAGCCCAAGGAGATGTTGTCATCTGATCTGCGTCATTGCGAATCTACGACGTACTCGGCCACTGAGGTCCTGTGGTGTCGCCTACCTCTCATGTGCATCTCGAAATTTATCATCAATCGTGGATGGTGTCATAAGTCATACGTCACAGTCATAAATCATCACACCCTGAATGACATTTGGAGGCAAAACAAACCACCATGCCACCTAATACCTTCAGATGCATTTCAAAAAGGTACTTCAGTGCTATTGGTTGTTGGCAAAATTGATGTGAGACCCTAATATCTGTCTTGTAGAGCACCATGCTGAGGACAATGAATTGCAATACCCTGTGATGAAAAACACCCCTAATCTCATCATAGGCTCTCTGCATATATAGGAATTGCTTGT